GGCTCCAGCCTTGCAGCAGGGGCCCAAGTGGCTGGAGGTTGAGGAAACCATTGAAGTTCGGGTGAAGAAGACAGGATCACGGGGCTCATCTCCTGTCCGAGAGATGCCCAGCAGTGGAGGGGAACTGCTTTTCACACTACCTGGTGGGATCCCCAGTAGGGATCCCAATGCCAACAACTCCAACAACAAGAGTGTGTACCAGGATGCCCAGACCTGGGGCCCGGCTGTGGTCCGTGTTGGCGAGTCCCTCATCTTCCATGTGGATGTAGTGGGTGATGTGGACCAGGCAGCTGCCGGCCCAGAGCCAGAGGAGGTCGGGCCCTCCCAGAAGCAGAGCATTGAGAAGGAAGCAGGAGACAGTGACAGAGAAGAGAGAACCTTCCTAACGGAAGAGCCCCAGGACACTGGCAGCCTTCAGGACCGTGACCCAAAAATCCTCACGCACAATGGCCGTGTACTTACGCTTGCTGACCTGGAAGATTATGTACCCCAGGAAGGGGAGACCTTTGGCTGTGGGGATCCCACCCCCAGCACCCCGGATGACCCTCCATGTGAGGTCTCAGTGCTCCAGAGAGAGATCAGCAAACCCACCGAACCCACTGTAGGGCAGCCTATCCTGCTCAATGTGGGGCGCCCTCCAGGCCCCAGTAGCTCACTTGGCTTCTTCAGGCAGGAACCCCAAGTCCACAGCCAAGAGGGTGTCTCTTTTCTCCTGCGAGAGGCCCGGGAAGGGCCAGTGAGTGCCACCCCCTGGACAGGATCCTTCCATACCCACGTCGTCCAACATTCTGTGGATGGTGGTCAGAGCAACTTCAAGACAGAGGTCTCCACCCAGACAGTCGGCTTTGGGGCTGTGGGAAAGACAGTCACTCTGCATATCCACCCAGATGGGGGTGAGGCCCATGGCCCCTCTCAGGGCTGATGCCATATATTAGGGACACAGCATGGGGACAGCAGGGTGAGCAGAGTGGCCCAGGGCCCTGACCCTGCAGGGCACCAGCGTCTGACCCAGAAGCCCTAGCTTACCTCAGGGACCCCTCCCCATTCCCACACCTCAGTCTTCTAGAGAAATCTGGGGTTGAACCTGCCTTGTCTTCCTGCCCGGCCCTTCCTACCTCACGGAACTTCTCTGCTGGGAGATTGGGGCAGTGCCTGCAATGTTGGAGACTTCAGAGGGGCTGTGGTCAGGAGCAGCTCGGAAGTCTAACTTTGGGCTCTGTCTTTCAGGCCTTCTGTGGGGCTCTGTACATAAAATGTGAACTTGTTTGTCCTGAGGCATCCCCCCATTAAGGGTGTTCCCAGGGCCACATCCAAGGCATGTGTGGTCCTGCCACTAGCTCTGCAGATCTTCAAGGCCGCTTCTGTGGTGGACATGGGCTGGGGTGTGGTGGTGATGCCCTGGCCACTGCCCTGATACAATAAAGAAAGTCCCAACACCAGAGCTCTTCTCCTCCTTGTGCGTGGACCCCGTGGCTCAGGGCCCCCCACTTTTGCAGCTGCATGCCAGACCTACCCTCATTTTTCCACGACTATATCATGGGCCATACAGGCTTCCTGGAGTGGCCACCTGCCTGTGTGCCATGATGAAGTGCCTGCAGGTCCGAACCTGCCCTAAGGGCCCTAGGTGGACTGGGAACAGGATATGGATCAGCTTGTTTCTTGGCAGTGCATGTGACTGGTCCCTGGGACTCCTCATGGTGTGACCAGAGCAGCCATCATGGTCACTTTTGGCTCGCCAGGGTCTGGGCAGGCCTTCTGGAGTCCTGGGTAGCTGAAGCTATTGTAGGACAGATGGGGGTTAAGGAGTGGAATGATGTGACCTGTGTGAACTGTCAGCATCTAGGAGGTCAGTCCCATCGTCTCCTGAGATGATGGAATTCCAGCACCTGTCATGAGGGAGGGGTTGGGGCCCAGCTGATCTCTAGCCTTGAAGCTTGTTGTAGAGATCCTGCTAGGCCCTCGGAGTTGGGAAGAGGAGGGTGGGTGCCTGGCCAACCCGAGCTAGGGTGTCAGAAATGCCTTATCAGTAAGAAGGATGCCCGGGCTAAGGAGGATCTGGTGAGGAAGGCTCTGGGCAGGAGACTGGTGGTCAGCAGTCATGGGGTATGGGGGGAGGGACCACCCAGGTAAGTGAGCAGCTCTAGAAAGGAGCACCTGAGACAAGTGCAAGAGCCATGCCTAGTAGACATCAGGAAGGGGTACTAGGAGGTGCTGACTAGGGGCTAGGGGAGGGTACTGGTCCGGCCTGGCCTGGGACTATGTACGTGGGGAACAGAATGCTGGCAGCCAGGTGGGGTGGGACCTGAGCTACCCTGGGAGGTGAACCATGACCATGGCTTCCTGGACACACAGTCCTGAGGGTCCCCTGGCCTTTGATGTGGTTTGAGGTCTAGAGCCAGCCTTGAGGGGAGCCAGGCCTTGATAGAAGGTGTGTGGGACTGTGGGCACACTGGGGGGTGGGGGCTCTCTGGAAGGGAACGTATTTCCTTCCCGTTTAGCTTCTAGAAGGATGGCTCTGGGTGTGCATGGTTCTGGGGGGAAGCCCTGGGCCAGCTCAGGGCTCCTCACTGTGCCACATTCTCCCCGGGGCTCCCCCTCCAGGCAGGATCCTGAAGAGGCTGGCAGGACAAAAAGCAGAAGTCTCTGAGGACCGGGCTGGCCTCTAAAGCCTGTGCCTGGTCTCTGCCAGACCCCAAGGCCTGACTCACCCTGTGTCCCACCCACCTCTTCGCAGACACCACCTTGGAGGACTCTGTCCACCCTGCCCTGGATGGAGCAGACCAGGACGCTACTTCTGTCCTTTGGAGATTGCTGGGCTCAGAGGCTCTAGGCACCTCCCCAAGGGACTTCACTGGTACTGGCCCAAGTGGGCCATCCATATTACAAGAGACCAGTCCCCTGCACCCAGGAATGGCAGCGTCAGGTGTACCTGGTGAGGCCCAGTAGGGAGCTGACTGCAAAGACCTCTCCCCACCATTCCCTGCGTTAACTCTACCCCATCCTTGGTCTCGTGATCCAAGGGGCCACCTTGAATGTCCATTCCATGAGTAAAAACTGTCAGAGCCCCAAGGTCACCATGATATCTTGATGGCTTCATGTGCTGGACCCTGAGCAAGCTCCATGCTTAATTTGGCCTCAGTTTCCCCTTTGTGAACTTAGTCCACCCAGTTCACCTGTGCAGGTACCAGGACCCAGATGTGCTCATTCCCAGCTGAAATCTCAGTTTCTCCAGATGTACCATCTGCCCACTCAGTTTGTTCCAAGCTCTCCTTTTTTTTAAAAAAAATTAATTTTTATTTTACTTGTATGAGTCTTTTGCCTGTGTGTACGTAAAGGCACCCCTGTCATGCAATGCCTGTAGAGGTCAGAACAGGATGTCGGGTCCCCTGGAACTGGAGTCTTGGTTGGTTGATAGCTACCATGTGGGTGCTGGGAACTGAACCTGGATCCTCTGTAAGAGCAACCAGTGTTCTTAATTGCCAAGCCGTCTCTCCAGCCCCCTGAGCTTTCCTTTTCTAACTGGTCAATGTGGCGTGTCTCCTTTCTTGTTGGGTGTTGTGTCCCTCTGTGGGGCTCCATGCTGCCCCCTGGGTCCTGCCCACATGTCACAACCACTCCAGCTCTTGGAGAAGTGCTCGGACCCAGGCTCCTACTCAGCATACCCAGGTTGTCTGGGCAGGTCCTGGAGGGCAGAGCTTCCACATCCCAAAGCCAACTTGGCTGATGGGCAGGAATGTTGGACTGGTAGCTCTATGGGGAATGAGAGGACTCTGGTATTTGCCCTCAGCAGCACAGGCAGCATACGTTACTGGGCTGTGGGGGCCCGGGACCCTGCCTGGTTCTCACCTGTGGCCCAGGCCCTAGAGCCTGCTTCTAACTGTGTATCTTTCCCCAGCTGGCTCTGTGGGGAATCCATGCTTGTGGGCTTAAGGACTGTCCTCCCAGCCCTGGCCTGGCTTCAACTCACAAGGCTTCCTGTCTCCCACCAGCTGAGTCCCCAGAGTTACCACAGCCTATCACACACAAAGGCCTGGAGCCGGAGGCCACAACAACTACTGGAGCCCAGGAACGGACTGTGCCTATTCGGTAACTTCTCAGGCCAATGCCCTCCAAAGGATACCCTGGCTTACCTGCCCCGGGGAGTTATAGGGTGGACTTAGAGCTTTCTAGAATACTCCTTGCAGGCACCAGCCAAAGATGGTGGGCAGAGGAGGGAAGAAGGGCCACCCTAGAACATGGGGCTTGGGGAGAAAGCTGGGCCTTCTATCAGTACATCTCACCCCACAAGTAGGGACAGGTAGGGTCACCATCCTGTTCTGAGGCTCAGCCACCTGAGAGATGCTGGGGCAGGTCTCAGGCTGCCTCACTGAGGAGAGTTTATCCTGTCATGACTCCAGGGTAGAAGGCATAGCATGGCCAGGTGCAGGCACAGGGCAGCTGCTCTTGGACGTGCACAGCCATGTGGTCATGGAGACCACACAAAGGACCTACGTGTACCAGGCCCCAGATGCGAGTGCCACAAGTATGGAAGTGGGCCAGCTGGGTGGGAGTGTACTGGTGCCACACCAGGTGTTGGGGGACATTGCATGAAAGCCTTCTGAAGTCACATAGCATGCCTCAGCCCGCACTCCCGCCCCTTTTCTCTGGAACCCTCTAGAAAGAGACAAGTGGTGGCAAATGTGGTGCCTGTGGTTCCATCCTTGAGAGACAGTCCGTTAGCATTTTGGCTGCTTGGCCAGACTTCCTCATGATTGCTTGGCTGGCTGCAATTAAAGTTGGAGGGATGGTCAGGGACTGATGGAAAGATGTGCTTTGTAACTGCCGGTTGCCTGGCAGTGAGGCGGGGATCACCTCTACCAAGGAGGGAGGTGGGCTCTCTGGCCTGGAGAGGGATAGATAAGCCAGGACTTTACTGACCATATGTGCGTGGCGGACTGTGCATCCAGGGTTATGCAGCCTGAGGGTCCTCTCCCCTTGGATTCTCTCTCTACCTCTCCCAGGAGCCCCGTCCATGCAGGTCACCATCGAGGATGTGCAAGTACAAGTGGGTGGCATGGCACAGTTTGAGGCTGTCATTGAGGGTAGCCCACCACCCATAGTGACCTGGTACAAGGTAGGAACAGACCCAGACTGGATAGGGTGAAAGGTGGGCTTCAGGGACTGGAGACTTGGGCACCGGTGTGCGTGTGACTATGTGGGAGCATGGGTCCCCTGCCCATCATGCAGCCTCAGCCCCCCACCCCACAGCCCTGCTCTGCAGCCCTATCCTGAACCTCCCCACCCCACTGTGGCCTGCACCTGGGCCTGGACACAGCAGGTGTTGGAACCACTGCTCTGGGAAGGGCGTGTGGGTCCAGGTGCTGACATCTCCCAGGTTAGGCTAATGGTAACTCAGCCTGTCCTCCTGTGTATCCAGGACAGCAACCAGCTGATGGACAGTGCACAGCTGAGCCAGCAGCAAGATGGAACCACATATTCCCTGGTGTTGAAAGATGTGACTCAGCAAGATGCGGGCGTCTACACATGTCTGGCCCATAATGCGGGTGGACAAGTGTTCTGTAAGGCAGAGCTGCTGGTCTGTGGGGGTGAGTTGGCTGACTCCTCACAGGCCCTAGGCAGCAAGTATAGCGTACAGAGCCCAGGGAGCAGACCCTGAAGCACGGGCAAGCAGTGAGGCCAAGGCTGTGACAGCTGTGCAGATTGTGCATGTCCTATGCTTTGACTGTAGGAGACAAGCCAGACTCAGAAAAGCAAGCATATCGGAGAAAGCTGCATTCCTTCTATGAGGTCCAAGAAGAGATTGGGAGGTATTGGTCCTGCCCCTTCCCCACAACCACATCCGCCCCAGGACTCTTCAGCCCAGTGCTCCATCATGGGCTCCCTCTCTCCTTCCTCGCCCCCAGGGGTGTGTTCAGCTTCGTGAAAAGGGTTCAGCACAAAGGAAACAAGATATCATGTGCTGCCAAGTTCATCCCCCTGCGGAGCAAAACCCGGGCTCAGGCTTACCAGGAACGAGATATACTGGCCACACTCAGCCACCCACTGGTCACTGGGCTCCTGGACCAATTTGAGACCCGGAAGACTCTCATCCTTATCTTGGAACTGTATCCTTCACCTGCCCCCTTGGGAGGGCTGGAGAAGTGGCAGGTCCCACACTAGGGTCGGAGTTGCTAAGTGTAGGGACCCCTGTGCTTGGCTGGCTGTGGTGGCAGCCAACAGCCCCACTTCCGAGCATTCTTGCTCCTGATGCTGTATAGGTGATGACAGCTCCTGGTCCTGTTACTCATGGTAGCATGATCTGGGGATTTGGAGACCCTTCCCTTCTGTGGGTCATTGATGGGGGTCACCCAACAGCGATGGGTTGATCCTGAGGGTTCAGATGTTCTCAACAGGGATGGCCAGGGGTCCCTCACAGGTGACCTCTCAGACACAGGAGAGGAGCTCTAGCTACTCTGGGTCTCTGCCATACCCATGGGGTCCTGTCGGAGGGCCTTATGTGCTAGACAACCTGTCAGCTGGCCACCTCACCTCTCCCGAGACTGTCTTAGGATTCTGAGGGGGGGTGCCTGAGGTAGGTTCCGTACGGAGACAAAAGGCAGCCCTCAGTCCTATTGTGCCACACTGCCTAAGAGCCTTAGTCCCCAGGGTCTTTCTGTAGCTCCTTTTCTCAAGGGTAGGTGCCATCTGGGACCCCAGGGATCCCTATCCCACCCTCCTACACCTGAGCATCAGCACCCTCAAGCTCTGGACCACAGGAGCCTCAGATCCTGGTCATCTCTCTATGAGCATGGGTTAGGGTAGGTTCCAACCTGGGCACAGCTTTTCCTTGACCAAACCCAGGTGTTCATCTGAGGAACTGCTGGATCGCCTCTTCAAGAAGGGTGTAGTGACCGAGGCTGAGGTGACCTTTACAACCAACCCCGAACCTGTCTGGGTGGCTCCCTGGGGCCCAGGCCCACTCAGTCTCCAGCCTCAGCCTCTCTTGATCTAAGTCCCTTGTAGCTCCCCCAGGGAATCCAGGCATGTCCAACCCTCCATTGAGATCTCAGCCCTCTCCCACCCTTCCTGACCATTCAGCCTAGCTAAGTTAGTGCTGCCTGCTCCTTCCTGCTTTGAACAGTCTGCTGCTTCCTGCCCGCTTAAGTCTACCTCACCTTTGGGGAACCTCCAGCCCTGGGACTCATGGGGTCCAAGGAGGCTCTGCCAGTCACCTGCCTTGTGGGTCCTGAGTTGTTTCTGTGATCAAGCTGGAGAAGAGGAGGAGGTCGAGGCTGTCTCTCACCTGAGTGGTGCCTCTGGGAGGCTGAGCTTTTTCTGAGCCAGCCTCTGGGAGCCTGGCCCCAAACTGAAGCAGGCCTTTACCACAGGTCAAGGTCTACATCCAGCAGTTGGTAGAAGGTCTGCACTATTTGCACAGCCATGGTATTCTCCACCTGGATATAAAGGTACTTACCCCAATGTACCTCCAGAACCCAAGACAGGGGCAGGTGGGAGCCCGGGCCTGGTTTCCACTAAGGACAGGGAACTTAGTACTTCCTAGCTCTATCAGGTAGAGTTTGGCTCTGATAGAGTAAAGGCTGTCCCTGACTGATACCCAGTCTGACCTTGGGACTCCCCACTGCCCTGTATTGGCTCCATGGACTCCAGAATGCTCCCCTGAGCCCAGAAGGCCAGGAGTCACCTCCCTCATGAGATGTGACCCTCAGCAACTTCCCAACTGTTCCCGGCAGCCCCCCAATATCCTGATGGTGCACCCTGCTCGGGAAGACATTAAGATCTGTGACTTTGGCTTTGCCCAAAAAATCACCCCTTCAGAGCCACAGTACAGCAAGTACGGCTCGCCTGAGTTTGTGTCCCCTGAGATCATTGAGCAGAGTCCTGTCAGCGAGGGCTCTGACATCTGGTGAGTAGTGGGCCACCAGGAGGGATACAGTTTGCCTGGGACCTTCCTGTCCTCATATGTCCGGCAGGCAAGAGTCCTCTTAGCCTCTGCCTCCTCCTCTAGCCCTGAGGTTCTCCAACCCCGACATGCACAACCATTGCCCATGGGCCACGCCTGGGCTGACTCACAGTGTGTGGTTTTGTTCTTGTAGGGCCATGGGTGTCATCTCCTACCTCAGGTAAGCAGACTCCGACCCATCAACCATCTCTTCCAAGCTGGCCCCTCCCCTGCAGGCCCACAGAGGTCACACGCACTGTTGGCCACTGCCCAGATCAGCCCCAAGACAAAATAGGCAGCTATCTTGGGACCAGGCAGTAGGCCAGCCCTGATAAGAGGTTCCTGTCTAACACTTCTCACTAACACCCCACTGTCAACCTGTCAGGAGGCAGAGCTTAGCCACTTCCCTGCAGGGTCTAAGGGTTTGCCCAGGAGCCACTCATGATGGATACTGTTGCTCTGAAGATGCTGGTGGTAGAGAATGAGCTTGGATACCTGTCTCAGCTTGAGCCCAAATCCCCTCCTCATGCTAAGGTTACATGATTACCTCAAGCTGAACCTACATCTCTGTCTTATTTGGGGCCTATGGTCTCACCGCAGGCTAAGGTCAAGTGTCTACCCCAGGATTAGGCTTTATATCTGTCCCAGACTGAGCCCAGTGACCCACTTTGGGCTTAGCTCACATCCCTGCTTCAAGCTGAGCCTGGATCTCCTCTATGTGCCAAGCCCTGATCCCCACCTTAGGCTAAGGCTGAGTACTTCTGCAGGCTGATTCTTCCTGATCTCTCTCTCAATCTGAGCTTGCATCTTAACCCTAGTCTGACCCCTGAAACCTACTCCAGACTTTGCCTGGATCCCTGCTCCAAGCTGAGCCTGGATCTCTCTGGTCCAGCCTGAGACATTTGCTAGGATCTTTAGGCCTGAATGAGTGTGGAATGCAGGCTATCAGGAAAGCTTCTCTGAGGGTCAGCCTCTCCACTTCCTCGCTTTCAGCCTCACCTGCTCGTCCCCGTTTGCGGGAGAGAGTGACAGGGCCACCCTCCTGAATGTTCTGGAGGGGCGGGTGTCTTGGAGCAGTCCCATGGCCGCCCACCTGAGCGAGGATGCTAAGGACTTCATCAAGGCCACGCTGCGGAAGGCCCCCGGGTGAGTGGCACCTGTCCTTCCCCTGACTGAGATTCAGTCAGCCTTGTCCCAGAATCAGCTGACCAGCTGGCTCGCCCGGCTTTCTTCTTCCTCAGTGTCCGGCCTAGTACCTCCCAGTGCCTTGCCCACCCCTGGCTCCTGGTGAGTAAGCCCAGCCTGGCCTCAAATTCCTGCTCTGCAGGGAGGGAAACTGAGGCTGAAAGGGATCATCAACATGGATTTTCCTGACCTGTTGTCCCCAGTTCAGAGGGCATCAGTCCCTTAGAATTAACAAGGGGGGCCTGGTGCCCCAACAGAGAATTGTCAGGAGTCAGCAATCAGGCATGACTGCTCTTTCTGCCCTCCTGAGTGAGGAACTTGGTGTCCTAGACCCAGAGTGGCCAAGAGGAAGAGACCCCTGAGGTCCTGTGGTGGAGGCCAGTCTGCTGCCCCTGCCCTGCTGGGCATCTATCCCAGGAGGGCCCCACCCAGGGCACCAGCATCTTCTGTCACCACAGTCACTCTCCTTCCCCCTGCAGAAGTCCCTGCCTGCGGAGGAGGCCCACTTCATCAACACCAAGCAGCTCAAGTTCCTTCTTGCTCGAAGTCGCTGGCAGGTGAGCACCTTCCCCACACAAAAGGGGCTTAGGTCAGAGAAGGGAACTTGAGCCTGGCTAACGTACCCAGACCAGGAGCCCAGGGGCTGAGCTGGCCGACTTCATGCTGGCTCTGGGTCCCCGTGAGTGCACCAAGGGGTGGGGTAGAACAACAGAGCATTGGGGCACAGACAACCCAGGTGACCTGGGGCTCCCTCTGGACCCACTGGAAACTCAGAGGCAGTGGGCAAACCGCCCTCTGCTTTAGCTGGGTGTGTCCACTTGACATGCTTCTGTTCCCTGCCCCCAGCGCTCCCTGATGAGCTACAAGTCCATCCTGGTGATGCGTTCCATTCCCGAGCTGCTCCAGGGTCCTCCACACAGCCCGTCCCTGGGAGTGGCCCGGCACCTTCGAGGGGATGCCAGTGGCTCCTCCAACTCCTCCTCTTCCTCGGATAATGAACTCACTCCATTCGCCCGGGCTAAGTCACTGCCACCTTCCCCTGTGACCCACTCCCCACTGCTGCATCCCCGGGGCTTCCTGCGGCCCTCAGCAAGCCTCCCAGAGGAGACAGAGGCCAGTGTACACTCAGTTGATGTAGCCCAGCCAGCGTCCCCCCAGGGTGCTGGGCCTCCAGGAAGCCCAGGATGTGTGCCCAGGCACAGCGTCATCAGCAGCCTGTTTTACCAGCAGGCAGGTGAGGGCTCAGAACATGGGAGCCAAGGCCCGGGTTCCAGGAGGCACCCAGCTCGAAGGCGCCATCTGCTAAAGGGTGGGTACATCGCAAGGGCCCTACCAGGCCTACGTGAGCCGCTGCTGGAGCACCGTGTGTTGGAAGAAGAGGCTGCTAGGGAGGAGCAGGCCATTCTGATGACCAAGACACCCTCCTTTGAGACCGCCCTGCGACTGCCCAGCTCCACTGACCCAAAGACCCCTGAAGCCCCAGGCCGTAGCCACTCCCTGGACCATGGTCCACCAAACACTCCCAGCCCCTCTCTGGAGGCATGCAGGGAAAAGTGCTCATTCCCAACCCCTTCGGGGGTGACTCATGAAGCTTCTACCAGGGATGTGGATCACTCAAAGGGATCCCTGCAGGGGTCTGTGCCTTCTTCATCTGCAAGTGGTGAAGTGGGACTTCCTCAGCAAGAGAGGTCATCCCAGGACGGCTGTCGAGGGAAGCCAGCCCCTTCCTGTCACTCTCAGCTGGGTTCTGGTCCCCAGGAGGGCTGCAGCTCCCCATCGTCAAAACTGCCTGACTCTTTACCTTCAGGGTCATTGAATAAGGACCTCTTGGCACCTTGTAGTGCAGCTCCATCTCCAACCCAAGCAAGCCCCCTACCAGGCTCCAAGGACGTCTCTCTACCTGGAAAGCCCTGGCCAGGCACTGCCAGTTCTTCAGTGCCAGCCTCCCAAGCGGGTACCTCCCTGGATACTGAGGGCTTGTCGGAGGTTGAAGATGCGTGTAACTCCACACCCCCTCCACAGCGGCCTCTGGAGCAGGCGACCACCCGGAAGTTCTCCCTGGAATCCCGTGGGGGCTATGCAGGGGTGGCAGGCTATGGCACCTTCGCCTTTGGTGGGGATGCGGGGGGCATGCTAGGGCAGGGACCTCTTTGGGCCAGGATGGCCTGGGCTGTGTCCCAGTCCTCAGAGGAGCAGGATGATGCTGGGGCTGAGAGTCCCCAGCTCCTGGCCAGCTCAGAGTCCATGCCCAAGGCCAGTGGGAGTCCCTTGAAGGTCTCCCCAAGCCTGACCCCATGGGAGGAAGTGGAGCAGGTTTCGCTGGTACAGATCCGGGATCTGTCAGGTGATGTGGAAGCAGCTGACACCATCTCCTTGGACATTTCTGAGGTAGATCCTGCCTACCTCAACCTCTCAGATCTGTATGATATCAAATACCTTCCATTTGAGTTCATGATCTTCAGGAGAGTCCCCAAACCCATGGATCAGCCAGAGTCACCTGGATCTGAGACGGAGACTGGGGAAGGGCTGGCAGCGTTCCTGGAGGAGGCCGCGTGGTCCTGGCCGGGCGAGCCGGGCCTGCACGCTGGCCTGGAAATCACAGAGGAGCCAGAGGACCTGGAGGCACTGCTGGGGGAAGCTGCTGTGGGCAGGAAGCGCAAGTGGTCCCCCTCCCGTGGTCTGTTCCCATTCCCGGGGAGGTGCTTGTCAGGGGAGGAGCCCATGGAGTTTGGACTGCGCCAGAGGGTGAAGGCTTCCATGGCTCACATCTCCAGGATCCTGAAGGGCAGGCCGGAAGGTGAATTTCCCCATCATCTGTCATGTCCACATGTTCCTCATTTTGCACCTGTGGGACCCCCTCTCACTCTGGTGCAGGAGATGGAGTCTTCAGGATCCCACTGGACCTCTCCTCCAGCCTGATGCTGCCCACAGCCCCTGGCATGACCCCACAGGCCTTGGCCCAAATCCTGGGGTTGCCTCTACAGCCCTGACACCCTTCTTACTGGGTGTCTGAGACCAGCCCTGACACATAACTGCAGAGGACTAGAGGCAGCTATAGGGGTGGACCTGTGGGGAGAGAATCCATAGGCCAAGTTCAACAGAACCCCAGACCTGAGGCCTAGGAGCCATCCCAAACCCAGACCCTCCTGACCCCAGGCCAGCCCGCAGCCACCTAGCAAGCTCCTGTGCCCCCTGCTGCAGTCCTCAGTGTCCTGACAGCTTATTGCTGAGGGAGCTGGGGGTGGCTGCAGCAGGCTTAGTTCTTGTTTCCCATATACCCCCTGGCATCCTGCATTCCAACCACCCCCCTGGAGCATGGAAATCCCAGTGCGGCAGATTTTCCAAGGTGAGGAAGCTGTGCTACCCTGTTTCTTGGCTGAGCCCCTGGTCTTCCTCCCACAGGTTCTGAGAAGGAGGAGCCCCCCAGGAAGAAGGCAGGTCTAGCCTCTTTCCGACTGTCAGGCCTGAAGGGCAGGGACCAAGGTGAGCAGGGACCTGCAGACCACCTCTGCAGTCCTGAACCATAGGGCAAACTCCCACCCATCACAGCAGTGGGAGCCCGAGTGTGGAGGGCTGAGCAGTTTGGGAAGACTTCTGGTGAAGCTGAGGGGTGGAGCTGAGCAGGGTCCAGCTGGGTCTCTGGCTGGGAGGTCTCCCTCAAGCTTCTTCTGCCCCTCTCAGCACCATCCTTCCTAAGAGAGCTCTCAGACGAGACTGTGGTCCTGGGCCAGTCAGTGACACTGGCCTGTCAGGTGTTGGCCCAGCCAGCTGCCCAGGCCACCTGGAGCAAAGGTAAGACGCTGTCTTGGAGGCTGGATATGGGGATGTGGGCAAGCAGCCATCACACACCCAGCAGGATGCTGTGACTGTCCTGGGGGAAAACTGAGGTTGGCTTTGTATGGTCATAGATGGGGCGGTCCTGGAGAACAGTGGCCACCTTCTCATCTCCTCCACCTTGAAGAACTTCCAGCTGCTGACCATCCTGGTTGTGACCGAGGAGGACCTGGGCACGTACACCTGCTGCGTGAGCAATCCGCTGGGGATGGCGCTCACTACAGGCATCCTCCGGAAAGCAGGTGCGCCGGCCATGCCAGAGGTCTCTGCCAGGCCCGGGAGTGCCGGGAGACCTTATCTTGTTTAGTGAGCAGGATGGTAGTGGACTTGTGAGGTGCTCAAGAAACGTGAAAGAGGCAGATAGAGCTGCCAGCGCTACATGCAGCGCACAAAACAGAGCTTGCTTATGTGCTCAGCTGCCAGGGAGAAAGCCCCAACAACTGCCCATTTGTCTGAGAGATGTGAGACTTCTCTTGTCTGACTTTACCACCTCCTCTTCCTATACTGCATCCTGGTCCATGCAGTGCCCAGGGCTACCTCTGAGGCAGCCTGCTGGCCTATCTGTGGGACCCGCCCATCACTGGCTGGTCTGTATGCCTTATGCCTGGGCACTCGGCAGAGCTGAGCCACCAACCAAGGCCACTCCACAGGGTCCTGAGCATGTTCCAGTAAGATGCCTAGCTGCAAGGGGTCTTGGCAGAGATGACCAGACAGACATCCCTTGACCCCCACTACGAGAGGCATTAGCCTCTACTCAGCCTAGCTGGAAGCCTCCCCTATCAGATGACAGGATCAGTAAAGGGCAGGCCTGGTTGTTTGTGAGAGTGAGGGAGGGTGGGCAGGACATGGCCAGAAGTCAGTGCCTGGGGGCTGAGTGCCCTTACTGACCACAGAGTGGCCTTTGCAGAGCGCCCCTCATCCTCCCCTCGCCCGGAGGTGGGAGAAGTGTACGCAGACAGGGTGTTGCTGGTCTGGAAGCCTGTGGAGTCTTGCGGCCTGGTGACCTACATTGTACAGTGCTGCATAGAAGGTATAGGATGAAACTTGGCTCTCTTGGGGTGGGGGTGGGGGTTCCCTGAGGCACAGGCCTCTAGACAGGGTCAGCATGGAAAGGCACCATGGGTATGTCTGCTCTGTGCCTGTGGGTGGCCTCAGGAAAGAGGATCCCCCTGACCCACCTCTCTCCAACTGCCTCTTACTCTCTTGTGTGGCCAGGAGGCAGCTGGACTACTCTAGCCTCTGACATCTCTGACTGCTGCTACCTCACCAGCAAGCTGTCCCGGGGCGGTATTTACACTTTCCGGACAGCATGTGTCAGCAAGGCAGGAATGGGCCCCTACAGCAGCCCCTCGGAGCAGGTCCTCCTAGGAGGACCCAGTCACCTAGGTGAGCTTTTGGGTAGCTAGTACAGATCAGGCATAGGCACCCTCCCACCCATGGCTGACCACTATTACCCTTGGGAAAAAAAGTTATGCCTACATGGTTGCATTCAGCATTCAAAGTCTGTACTTTCTGGGGACCCTGTCATCTCTCTGACACCTTCCTCATGTCACCCTGGGAGCTGATCATGACCCCACTGAGTTCTGTGTCTAGATCTGATGGAAGAGTGCTGGGGTTGATTGGTAATGTCTGCAGTGGGTTTAAGAATGATAGCGGTGGTTTGATTGAGCTCTTGCTCCATCCTGGAATGCCCCCTGACATTTCCACATATGCAATCAATTAGGGTGACTGGTTCTGCCCTGATTGATGCTTTCTTATCCAAGTGCCCCTTACATGCACACAAAATGGCCCATAAGGAATGAGAGATCAGAGTGTATGGGAGCTTAAAAAGGGGTCACTTGTGTAGTGCCTGGGAAAGGATTATGGGAGATGTGGGGAGAGCCAGGGCTGCCTGGATGTCCCTCCCTGACCAGGTCCCCTGTTCCATCTCCTGCAGCCTCTGAGGAGGAGAGTGGCTGGGCAAGGCCAACCCAGCCCCTGCCCAGCACAAAGACCTTCGCCTTCCAGATGCAGATCCGGAGGTGCAGGGGTTTCTGCAGAGTGGGAGGGTGGGGGCTGTGCTCCAATTTCCCCTGCTGGCTTTTAACCTCATCCTCAGTACATCTGCGGAGTGTGTCTGGCCACTGGCCCATCTTCTGCCTTTCACTGAACTTGGTCCCTGCTGCTCTGAGTGTTTGGGGACCACTCACAAGCCCCCCCATGTTTCTTTGCCCAGGGGTCGCTTCAGTGTGGTCCGGCAGTGTAGGGAGAAGGCCAGTGGGCGGGCGCTGGCTGCTAAGATTGTTCCTTACCGGCCTGAGGACAAGACAGCTGTGCTTCGAGAATACGAAGCACTTAAGAGACTGCACCACCCGCACCTGGCCCAGCTCCATGCGGCCTATCTCAGCCCCCGGCACCTGGTGCTCATCCTGGAGCTGTGTTCTGGCCCTGAGCTGCTCCCCTGTTTGGCAGAGAGGTGAGAAGGAGCATGGGCTGCCTAGGAGACAAGGAGGCCAGCCAGTGGAGTCCTCTGGGAAGGAATGGGGGAGCTGTCCAACTCCATCAAGCTGGAGTCAGCAGAACCTGGCACCTGCGCCTTGCCTGCCAGGGCAGTGTTCTCAGCCTTCACTCTGGTGTCTCCACTGGCCCTCCTCATGTGTGCCCAGCCCTGGTAGGAAACCCACCCCACCTACCTCAAGTTTGTCCTGAGCCATCTGTGCCTGCAGGGACACCTACTCAGAGTCAGAGGTGAAGGACTACCTGTGGCAGATACTGAGTGCCACCCAGTACCTGCACGCCCAGCACATCCTGCACTTGGACCTGAGATCCGAGAACATGATGGTTACTGAGTACAACCTGCTCAAGGTTGTGGACCTGGGCAGTGCCCAGAGCCTCAACCAAGAAAAGGTCTTGCCCCCAGAGAACTTCAAAGACTACCTGGAGACCATGGGTGAGTGTGTGGCTCCTACTCTGGGGCGGGGTGGGGCCCTTCCCCACCTGTGCTGCCATTCCTCCACCAGTTCCACTGGCACCCGCCTCCCACCAAACCCCTCCACCTGACTCACCCAACGGTCCCCAACCACTTATGCCCACTCATGTGCCAATGTAGCTCCGGAACTCCTGGAAGGCCAAGGGGCTGCTCCACAAACAGACATCTGGGCCATCGGCGTGACAGCCTTCATCATGTGAGTCCCTCAGGTGTCTAGGGAGGCTGTGCCAGGCGGGTGGGACAAGCCCCAACCACGTGAGGGTCACCGCAGAGCCCTGTACATCCCCACGGGTAACCTAGGTCCCCTCACCCACGCAGGCTGAGTGCCGAGTACCCAGTGAGCAGCGAGGGGACTCGCGACCTGCAGAAAGGTTTGCGCAAGGGACTCATCCAGCTGAGCCGCTGCTACGCAGGGTTGTCCGGGGGTGCAGTCGCCTTCCTGCGGAGCGCACTGTGCGCCCGGCCCTGGTAAGAAGCTGGGCCTGCCCCGCCTCCCCTTCCCCTCCCACTTCTCCCACCAGGTCGGCCCCAGGGTCTCTCCCAGCTAACCCGCGCCGCACCGGCCCGCCCCGCTCTCCGGCCCGCTCCTGACCCGCCCTCTGCCGCAGGGGCCGGCCCTGCGCCTCCAGCTGCCTGCGGTGCCCGTGGCTGACCGAGGAGGGGCCGGAGGGTTCCCGGCCCGCGCCCGTGACCTTCCCCACCGCGCGGTTGCGCGCCTTCGTGCGCGAGCGCGAGAAGCGGCGGGCGCTGCTGTACAAGAAGCACAACCTGGCCCAGGTGCGCTGAGGTCCCGACCCTGCAGGGCAAGATGTGCCTTGCTACCCTGGTAGAGACAATAAAAGATGCAAAACGGCCGAAGGGTCTTCTGTGTCACTGAGTCACCTTTGGGTGTTGGGGGCCTTCGCTGTCACTGGGATAGATGCCCTGGACCCTTTGGCTGGTGCAGCCGTGTGGTGGCGGCCTCACTTTCCCATACGTTTATGCGTTTCTTCTAACCCATGCAACCCAGCTCGGCCACACCACAGAAGCCTAAAGCCCTGCCCAGCCCGCTCTGCCCTGATGTGCAACCTGCTCCCTGAACGTCTTGTTAGTTCTTGGACAAAACGTGTCAAGAGATCGATGTGGGGAACCACGGGCTATGAACCGGTGGGGTCTTTACGAAGGTCTTGGGTTTGGAATCACTGGCTCATGGCCCTGGATCCCCTGATAGTCCCTAAACATATGGGTAACCGGATGAAGTGGCCCCATTGCTCTGGTCGCCTGAGGAAGTCCATTATTGCCTCTGCCCAGAGAGCAAACCACTCCCCTCAGCCAGGAAACAAAAGGTGGTAGAGAAGATCCCACTTTAGAAGTCTCAAAGGCCTGTCCCAGTGACGTCCTGGAGGACCCCAGTGACCTCCCAGAGGACCCCGCCTCTCCAAAGGCCAGTAGTACCACACTGGCCAGCAAGCCCACAATACTTGGGAAATGAAGAAGTTCAGGCAGGGGAATTGGAAGCAGGCAGAGAGTTCCTTCAGCATAGATCCCTTGGTAGAACCTAACCTCAGGGGTCAGCCCTCAGCCAGAGCCAGGTTCCCTCTGAGAATGGATAGAAACGGCCACATGGCCTCTTTTCACCGTGGTCATACATCAGCAATTCCAAATCAAGTCTTTATGATAAAGACCGCAAGGGATCATGGCCAGCTGCTCCTCCTAATCCGTGGCTTGGTTAAGAGCTGACCCGGTGGCTTGGTCAGAAGCTGACAGGAACACAGCTCTCATGCAGATGTCGGGGAGCAAGCTGTACCCCACCCACTCACTGCTGGCTGGAGGCCAGGTCACTGCGCCTACCTTTCTCCTGGGGGTGGTGTGTGTGTGTGTGTGTGTGTGTGTGTGTGTGTGTGTGTTGAGATACCCAACCACAATTGTCTCTGCTTTCCAGTGGTATTTAAGCTGGAAGAATTCTTGTTTTCTTACTTGCCTGGCTTGTTCTACAGAAGTTCCTGGGGTCTGGAGCTGAAGGAGTTCTGAATTCTCTTGGTTCTCAGCCAATCCCAGGGACTCAATGACTGTGACATGCTAATAAGTCCAGCCTGTCTTGCTTCCCCATCCCAGACCATCATATCTGCACTCTGGACATGGTCCCTTGAATTCTCTATCTAGAACACTTTGATGTAAAAACCAATCTCTCCCAGATGGAGCCGATGATCTTGCCACACTACCTTTATTTCCCTCCTGTTTTTTGTCTTTTTCCCCACTAGAGTATAGGCTAGAGCATAGACCCCCTCCTAGTTTGTTTTCATGATTAAAACCCCTCAAAAAGTGTAAAAGAAATATACTTCAGCACCGTCAAGGCTATCTATGACAAAGCTACAGTCACTATCGTACTAAAAACATGAATGTGCTTTCTATAAAAAAAATGCTACCAAGGTCCACTTTCAGCCTTTGTATTCAACACAGTACTGGGAGCCTTAACGAGAGCAGTCAGACAGAAGAAAGGAAAAAAGATGTTCAAATACGAAGGGATCCCTGCCCTCAGGTGGTGTCCTTCCCTCCCCTCCCCTCCCCTTCCCCTTCCTCTCCTTCTGTTTTTTGCTTGACACTGTCTCTTTCTAGCTGTGACTGGCCTGGAACTTGCTGTATAGACCTAGTGGCCTGGAACTTCTGGCAGTCTTCCTGACTTGGCCTCCAAAGTGCTGAGGTTGCAGGTGCACCACTACCCAGCTGAGAAACATTTGGGTTTGTTTTGGGTTTGTTTTGGTTTGAGACAGAGTCTCAAGTAGCCCAGGCTAGTCTCTAACTCCCTATGTAGCTAAGGATGATCTTAAAGTTCTGATCCTCCCGCCTCAATCTCCCGAATGCTGGGACTGCAGGTTTGAGCTGCTATACCCAGTTTCAGATGACATGAATTTTATATAAGAACATTTAAAGACTCCATCAACACCTATGAAAACAAACAAACTGATTTGGGAGATTCAAAATCAATGCACAAAAGTCACCAACATTTTTATATGTTGATAGTAAGATAGAAATCCCTTCATAATACCTACAAACAAGCAATAACCGGGGATAAGTTAAACAAAGCAGTGAATGATCACCACAAAGAAAATGGCAAAGCATTAATGGAAAAACTGGGTGAAACATATGAGGAGAGAGCCTGTGGTCGGGGGCAAAGGGTTAATGTTTTGCTTTGTACGTTGTCTTCCTTCCTTCCTTCCTTCCTTCCTTCCTTCCTTCCTTCCTTCCTCCCTCCCTCCCTCCCTTCCTCCTTTCCTTCCTTTTTTTCCTTTTGGTCTTTTGAGGCAGCTTGCTCCAAACTCGCTACATAGAGAGGACACTTCGACTCCTGATTCTCCTCTCTCAAGCCCCCAAGTACTAGGATTATAGGAATGTACCTCTTTACCTGGCAGTTGAAGAGTTAAAATTGTTTTAAAAGTTCATACATTTATATGAGTGCACATATATGATTTGTGTGATTTACCTTTAATGCAACCCCCCATAAAAATATCAATAGAATTCCTCACAAAGAACTAAATGAAACTCAGAACTACTAGAAGAAAATACTTCATGACATTGATTCAGTCTATAAGTTTTTGCGTGACTTCAAAAGCTGAGACAATAAAAGCAAAAATGGAGAAATGGGTTTATAAGGAACTAAGGAGCATCTGTCTATCAGCGGAACAATTTACAGCCTGGAGAGCAGCCTGGAGAAAAGGAGAAAACACTTCTGAAACTGTCAGGAGGGGTTAATTACCCAGCATACCCCCAAAACTCAAAAGATGTAACAGCCAAAAATTACCTGATTAAAAATGGGCAAATGACGGGTATAGTGGTGGAGGCAGAGGCAGAGGCAGGCGATCTCTACAAAATCAAAGCCAGCCTGGTCTACATAGTGAGTTCCAGGCTATCTCTGGCTACAGGGAGACGCTGTCTCAAAAAAAAACAAAAAAAAAAAGCTGTGTGAGTTCAAGGCCAACTTGGTCTATATATCGCGTTTCAGGACAGCTGGGGCTACAGAGAGACCCTGTCTTAAACAAAACAAAACAAAAACAAAAGGGTGTGTGTGTCAAATAATGAATAAGCATTTCTAAAAGTAAAATCTACATGGGGCTGGAGAGGTGGTTCAGAGGTTAAGGGCACTGGCTGCTCTTGCAGAGGACCCAGGTTCAAATCCCAGCACCCACATGGTGGCTCCAGGGGGATCCAATACCCTCTTCTGACCACAGGCACTGCATGACATGGGTACACTTACATACACTCAGACAATACACTCATATACATAAAATTACAATAATAAAATGTAGCCAGGCGTGGTGGCATACACTTTTGATCCCTGCACTCGGGAGGCAGAGGCAGGCCAGGCAGATTGCTGTGAGATCGAGGTCAATCTGGTCTACATAGTGAGTTCCAGGCCAGCTGAGGCTACAGGGAGATCCTGTCTCAAAAAGACCAAATTAATAATAATAATAATAATAATAATAATAATAAAATATTTAAAATAAAAGTAAAATATACAAATGGTCAGTAAATCTGTGAACAAACGCTCCACACCAGGAATCATCAGGAAACCCACAAGCCATTTTAAAACCACAGAGAGGATCCAATACCACCTTCAGCCTCCTTGGACACTGCACATGTATGGTTGCACTTACATATGTGCAGACAAAATACATTCATAAAATAAAAACAATTAATTGTTTTAAAAACGAAGAATGTAGGGGCTGGAGGAGAGGTGTGCACCATCACACCTGACTCAGTAATACAATTTTAAAAATGAAAAACTGCCTGGATGTGGTGGTGCAGGCATTCTGGAGGGAGAGGCAGGTGGATCTCTATGAGTTCAAGGCCAGCCTGGTCTACATGGTGAGATGCTGTCACTGAAAAAAGCAAAACAAGACAAACACACAGACACACACACACACACGCACGCACACACACACACACACACACACACGCGTGATGTGCACAGGTTCTATGCAAACACTGAGCCTTCTATATAAAGGGCTTGACCAGCTACAGGTTTGAGGTTGGGGAGGGTCCCTAGACTTCTGTTCCTGGAAACAAGCCCTAGGGAACTCAACACACCCACAAGATTAAAAAGGAGCACTCAGAGGTTTTAGGAACTTATGCAAGCATCCAGTGAGAGAAGGGACAGTTGGGAACAAAAATGCCAACTGACTAGGAATTGATAATCCTAAGGCATTAATTTTTATATTCCTTGGGGGTAAACAAGAGACAAAATGGGTCTCAGCAACAATCCCTGTGCCACCACCATTGGGAAACAACATCCACTCTGGCAGTTTCTCTCTGACCAGGAACCAGCAAGATGACATACAGCAAAAAGCCTTTCAAATCTTTTTCCTCCCCAATCCCTTGCAGGGCAGCAACAGGATAGAATATATGCATTCTGGTTTGCTTAGTTGCCATGTTAAATATTCAACTTGGAGGCAGCTAGCAAACATATGACTGACTGCCTGGTATGGCCAGAACCCGGCCGTTGTGCACCCTTCTAAGAGCCCCAGAGATGGTGCTTGGCTGCCACACACTTTCATGGAAATAATTTTTTCCCTTTTCCAGTCATTGGATTACCTTGACCTCTGAGATGATAGTGTTTGGGGACCAAGCACAGACCCTGGACTGGGAGCATCTTTTGTCCCCTGCAAAAACAAACAAACAAAAAAACAAATGGGTGGAACACATAACACAAACTCAAATGGCAATCACAGGGATCTGTGACTCCTCTGGAACTGGAGTTACAAATGGTTCTTAGCCACCATGTCGGTGCTGAGACTTGAACCCGAATCCTCTGCAAGAGCAATCAGTGCTCTTAACCACTGAGCCATCTCTCCAGCACCCCTCATCTTTTTATACCAGATATCTCTGATAAGAATAGTATCATAGCTTTCTAGTGCCAAATCTCTGCAGAGTAAGTTACTAACCCATCTATTTTACAGCAAGTTCAATGGGATGCTCAGAAAAATGTGTATTCTGTAGCATTTGGATAGACTGTACTGTAGACATCTGTGATGTTATGGAATTCAGATATTTCTCTTTATTTTGCACCTGAATGGCCTGTCAATTGATGGAAGTGGGGTACTGGCCACCCACTGTTAGATCTGACTTTTCTTTTAGTAGCATTTGTTTTATGCAATCAGTTGCACCCGTTCAGTGTATATATGTTTAAAATTGTAACGTCTTCTTGACGGATTGCTCCCTCAGCATGAAGTGAGGGTATTTGTCTCTTCGGACTCATTTTGGTTTGAAGTCTGTTTTGTTAGCTATTAGAATTGTGACTGTTTACTAGGTCCATCTGCTTGGATACTTTCCCATACTCTCGCCAAAGGTAGCATCTGTCTCTCACGGTGAGATAAATTTCTTGGAGACAACAAAGGGATGGTTCCTGCCCTCTAACCCAATCTGCTAGTCTGTATCTTTTGATTTGGGGGAATTGAGACTATTAATATTTAGAGTGATGTCGAAAGGTAGACATTATTTCCTGTCATTTTGTGGACTTGGTAGTGTTTGGTGTTTTCCTAGTCCTCTCTTGCTCAAGTATTTTTCAGGACTGGTTTATTTCTCCCTATGGCCCCATGGGTATTTTTGCCTTCTCTTCAGTCTAAAGAATTCGTTCAAGTATCCTCTGTAGAGCAAGCTTAATGCTGATGAATTTCTTAGGCTTGTTTTTATCAGCAAAGTTCTCCTTTCTCCAAGCATTATAGATAAGTTTGCTGGCACAGTAGTGTGCGTTGGCCCTTGTTACCTTTCATCAATCCAAGCCCTACTGCCCTTTAAAGTTTCTATTGAGGAATCTGTTTATTTTGACCTGTCAGTCTTTACATGTGACTTGGTGATTCTTGCCACTTTCAATACACTTCCTTTGTTTCGAATATTTAGTGGTTTAAGTATAATATGATGAAGGGAGGCTCTCTTCTGGTCTTGTCTGTTTGGTGTTCTAAATTCCTCCTGTATTTGGATAGGCATCTCTTTCCTTAATTTCAGGTAATTTTCTGCTGGATTTCCATGAAAAATGTTTACTCTGCTATTGGGATGGAAGTCTTCACCTTCTTTTAGGCCCATGAATCTTAGATTTGGCCTTTTCATTGGATCTGGGTATCTTATGTCCAATTCTTTATCCTTCTTGTCTGCTATGATCTTTATTATTCCGCTCCTTCTACTCATTTAGGGTTTGGTTTGTTGTTTTTCTAGTTCTTTGAAGGGGCATCAATAGGCTGTTTGTCTGAGCTCTTTGATGTGGGCACTGATTGCTATGAATTTCCCTTAGTACTGGTTGTGCTGTATGCCATAGGCTTTGATACACTGAGTCTCCATTTTTGTTTGTTCTGAGATTTATTTTTCTTTCTTCTTTTTTCTTTCTTTATTATTTATTTTACTTATTATTTATATTTTTTGGTCTTTTTGAGACAGGGTCTCCCTGCATGTTGGGGAACCCTGCTGCTAGGGTCGTAGTCCTCCATGTCCGGATAGCTCTAAGGGGCTCGGCACTATATGGAAGGACTCCCCTTCTCAGCAGGGGGCCTCCTGCTCTCTGCCTGACTTACCTGGAAAGTGCTGCCAAGCACAGATGCCTGACCTTATTTGGAACATGACCTTTGGCATAGTTACCTGGAGTAAAAACTACCCCCAGGTTTTTCCTATATGATAATCAGGCCGGTAGTTTTTTCTATATGATAATCGCCCGGTAGTCGGATGATAGGAGCCTACTGCCACAGGTAAATAAAGCATACTATGAGCACCTGTCAGCTGAAGCATTGGCTACTGCCTCCATACTGTTTTCCCTAACCCCCACTGAATAAAGCTGTTTCACTGAATCTGGAGCTGTTTGTATCACTGAACCTGCCTCCCCAGAAGGGCTTTCTTCTGTCAGTGCTCACTGGCTGTCCTGACCCCGTTCGTCGCTTCTGCTCCCTTTGTCCTCATGGAACGGTGGCCAATGACCCACAAGGAGAGGGAGTGACCCCACACCTGCAGCCCCAGCTGGCTTGGAACTCACTACATAGACTAGGCTGGCCTTGAACTCACAGAGATCACCTGCTTCTGCCTCCCAAGTGCTGGGATTAAAGGTATGCACCACCACGCCCGGCAAGAATTTATTTCCTTCTTAATTTATTGAGTATTTCTTGATCCATTGAGTATTCCAAAATAAGTTGTTAGGGGCTGGAGAGATAGCTCAGCAGTTAAGAGCACTGGCTGTTCTTGCAGAAAACCCAAGTTTGAATCTCAGCACCCACATGGCAGCTAACAACTGTCCATAACTCCAGTTCCAGGGATCTGATGTCCTCCTCAGGCACTGCATGACATGGGTGCACTTAGACACATGCAGGTATAACACTCATACACATAAAACAAAAAAACAGAAATAAAGTAAGTTGTTAGAACTGCTGAGAAGAAACAGCAGGGCGAGGTGCTTGCCACCAAACCTGGTGACCAAGTTGGATCCTCAAGACCCACATAGTAGAACACTGACTCCTGAAAGTTGTCCTCTGACTGCCATAGGCATGTGTGGCACACACGCCTCCCACCCCCCAAATAAATATCTTTTAAAGTGTATATTTTAAATATTTTTTAATTTTATGTGTATGAGTATTTTGTCTGCATGTATGTAAGTGTACCACACTCATGGCCTAGTGTTTGCAGAGACCAGAAGAGGGCATCAGACAGGTGTCAGCCTCCGTGCAGGAGCTGGGAATTGAACCCAGGTCCTCTGGAAGAACAGTGACTGGTTTTAACTGCTGAGCAACTCTCTAGCACCCCCCCCCCCCAAGAAAAGTAATTTGTTTGCCAGGAATGGTGGAAGATACCTGTAATTCCAGCACTCAGGAGGCTGAGGCAGGCAAATTTTTGAGTTCCTGTCCATTCTAAGATCCACAGCAAGTTCAAAGCCAGCGTCCATGTTTTATAGTTTTCAAATAGCTCATGTTATTGATTTCTAGTTTTATTGCATTGTGGTCAGAAAAGATACCTAATTTTTTACTCTAAAAATAAAAATGTTTTGTGCCCCATTAATGTGGTTTATACTGAAGACTATTCCACATGCCACTGAGTGAAATGTTCATTGAGTCTATGAAGGATGGAGTCTTCTGTTGATGTCTGTTAGGTCCATTTACTCAGGATGCTTTCTGGCTCTGCTGTTTGATTTTCTGTCTGGATGATGCATCCATTGCTGAAAGTAGGGTGTTCATATTCCCAGTTAAGGCCTGGTATGTTGGCACACACCTTTAATGTCAGCTCTTGGGAGGCAGACCTCTGAGGCCAGTATGGGCCTCATAATGAGACCCTGTCTCAAATAAATAAAAAGAATCCACATGTCAAGTAAGAAATGACAATGAGGATACTCACCGAGCCAAATGAAAATGGAAACAGCTAAAGCAGTGCGTTTAGTGTGCAGCTCACGATGGCTGGCGCAGGACTCCTGTAGAGCCCGCTGCAGCTGGGAATCACCAACACACTGCTGGGGTGATCACCCACTGCCGGGATAGAACTCACCCACTGTTGGGGTAGTGATCACCTGCAGTGTGTGCAAGGTTCTCCCCCCAAAGATGTAACTAGGCAGGAACAAATCATGAACTCAAAAAGAAAGTGCTTATAAACCCAAGGGAAACTTAGTGTTACATATACTCAACACACATGGAAGGTCAGGGGTGGTAGCATATGCCTTTAATCCTAGCAATCAGGAGGCAGAGGCAGGACAATCTGTGAATTCAAGACCAGCCTGGTCTACAGAATAAGTTCTAGGTCAGCAGGGCAACATGGTAGTCTTGTATAAATTTCGCAGTGCCGCCCCCCACCCCCAAACCACACTTGCTCTTTCACTCTAGAGCCACACCCTCTGCATGGAGTGTCAGGTACCTGTTATTTAATGTGTGTGTGTGTGTGTGTGTGTGTGTGTGTGTGTGTGTGCATATGCATGCAGGTGCCCTGGGAGGCAGATTCCCCTGGAGCTGGAGTTTGAGGGAGCTGTGAACCATCAGACTTGGGGCCTCCATGCAAGTATGTCCCCATAACCACCAGCCCAGACCCCTGTTATTTACCCACAAGCAGGAGACAGTATTCCAGATGAGATTTATTTAAAGAATGTTTTTTCAATAAATAAAGGCCTAAACTCCCAATGAACTCCTGTTCCCCAGGAAGCAGCTTCCTGGATCCTATGTGCCTAGGTGTAGGCACCTCACTCTGCAAGACAGACAACTGGGGGGAGGGGCACCAGCTCTTGTAAGAGCGGGTCACCAAGGTTAGCAGGACACCAGGGAAGCCTCTGTGAGGGTTAAACCAGCCTGAGATACTTAGACAAGCCTCAGAACAGCAGAGTGCATTGATGTGTCACTTCTGGGACCCTTATGTGCAGAATACAAAGGTCTTCGCATGTGGAACTCATCCACAAGTCTGACAGCCCCCATCAGACTACTTCCTGTCTAGGGCCAGGCTGCTGTCCCAATTCTTCCCCACAGCCACACCCAGGGTGGTAATTACCAGCCTTCCCATAGATGAGTCCAAATCCTGAGATGCTAGTGGGCTTGAAGCTGGTGTTCCACCCCCAGCTCCCTTACCAGGCATCTTCTGAGTTGGAGTGGCTGTCTGTTGGTAGGCAGGTCAGGCTGCCCATGGCAGGGTGGGCAGACCTGGATTGTTTCTGGAAAGGCCTGTGACATTACTGGAACCTTGAGCCGGAGGTGCCGGTGACACACACGGCTCAGTGCTTTGGTGAGGGCTTTTGGCACTAAGTGGCATTGGTGGCCAAGAGGGGCCCCACAGTGAAGACAGAGCCCACCCCATCTGCATCGTCTGAATCAGAACTCTGGTTTCTCACTTGGGTTCAGAAGGCACTGTGTTCCTCCTACTGCTCACAGAATAACATCCAGTTCCTGGGTCTGCCACGTGGCCAATCGGTCCAGGAGCCAGGACATCAGACCAGAAGAGGTCAAGGGACTCCCCCCAGAGGGTCCAAGTCACTGGGGAACCGGGGCGTCCCCAGGCCCTCCTTTCAGCCGACAGATGGTCATAGGGGTCAGGCTGCTAGACAGAGGTGAGAAGAGGGGTCGGAGTGTGCCCGAGAAGGGGGTCTCTGGGAAGATAAACAACAGCGACCCATCTGTGGCACTATAGAACGAGAGGTGACCAGCCTCATAGTCCAGAAAGATCCCCACGCGCCTGGGTGGGTCCCGGAGTGGGGAGAAGGCCCGCTCGGTGGAGTTATAGAAACTACCCAGGAACACCAGGATCCAGAACCCGTTGCCAGCGGACAGCTCCCCCATCTCCTTCCGGTTGACATTCTCTCTGCACACACCAAGTGCCCAGCTGGTGCGGTCCCCCACCTCCACCTCCCAGTAGTGGCGGCCAGAGGTGAAGCGCTCCTGACCCAGCACGCAAGGGCCAGGGTCGAATCGCTCAGGACTGTCGGGCAGGGCCTGCCGCTGGTCACCACGTTGCACGCTCCTGTAGTCCTCAGAGAGGACCAGCTCCGGGTTGGCAGTTTCTGGGTCCAGGGTCATGTCCCCTGTGGAAAGGCTTGGGGTCAACCAGATTGCTGGCCCACACCAGCTCCCACCTGCTTGGCGCATTAATCAAACCCTCCCTCCCCAGCAGTCCATGTTGGTGTTTGCTGGAGCCTCATCCTCTTACAAGGCTTACCGGAGCAACTGCTCCTAGTGGAGAGCTTTCCCTCCCTGGGAAAACACCCAGCTCTAGTTGGAACTCAAATCAGCCCTGCATCAACCTCAGATAACAAAAGGTCATCTCATGTAGCCCAGGCTGGTCTTGAACTTACTATGTAGCTGAGGACAACCTTGAAGTTCTGCCATCCTGCCTCCCACCTCCTGCCACTGTGTCCTATATTTGTTCTTTCTTTCCATCGCCAGTGAAGCTGGTGAGTTTTGGTCCCAGCTGTACCTTGGGTTCCCCTGCATTCTAAAGGCTCCCAGGGCAAGAAACCTTCTCAGAAGGGGTTATGTGGCTATCTCCTCCCAGACCACGGTCCAGGTGCATTCTGGTCTATCTACCTCTGAGTCTGATGTGACCCATAGATAGACTCGACCAGAACCAAGGGCAGCAGTCCCCTGGAGGACCAGCACTCAGCAAGTCTTTCCCTAGCTCCTGAGGAAGGCCTCAGAGTTTCCCAATAGTGGCCTTGACTCATCACAAGGGTACTCCCCCTCTACTTCACACCTGAGTTTATGCTACTGAGGTGGCCCAGGTGGGGCCTGCTGATGACCTCAGGATAGGGCTGGTCACCATAGACCAACCATGGGGCAAAGGGTTGGAATTTCAACCCCATCCTCTAAGGAAGGGAGATGGGCCAGAGGTTGAGTTTGCTCATCGTGCTTATAGAATGGAACCTCTCTAAAAGCTAACAGGCAAGGTTCTGGTGGACTCTGGAGCTGGAGAACCCATCAAAGTGCCAGGAGGGTTGTGCCCTGCGAGCCCATCCTCCAATCTTGCCAGAGCATCTCTTCCTCAGCTGTGTCTTTCATAATAAACTGTTAGCAGTAAGTGAAGTACCCCTTCAATTTTGTGAGCCATTTTGGCAAATTATCTGATGTGAGAAAGGGGTTATGGGAACTTTTGATTAAGAGTAGAGGGCCAGGGGGCTGGAGAGATGGCGCAGTGGTTTAGAGCACTGGTTGTTCTTGCAGAGCACCCAGCTTCAATCCCCAGCACCCACATTGCAGCTAACAACCGTCTGGAACTCCAGTTCCAGGGGATCCCACATCCTCTTATGACCTCCGTTAGCACTGCATGGCACAGGTGTAATTACATACATGCAGGCAATACACTCAAACACATAAAATAAAAAATAAAAAATTTAGGGGGACAGAAATATGGGTGCCCATGGGTCTCGTAAGTGGTATCTGAAGTGGGGCAGTCTTGCGGGGCTGAGCTTGTTGGAAAACTGCTTGGTTTAGAAAATACGCACACAAGGTGACATGTCAATGCAGAGGAAGGTTTGCCAAGAAGGCCCGAGTCTGGAACTGCTGCCCCATGGCACCCAGTCCACTATAAGGCCTGGGGCTCTTGACAGTGCAGCTCCCAGGGTTGCACACCCACCTCGGAACTTCCGCAGGGTCTCCACCAGCCCGGGGACCCGGCACACGGTCCTCAGTTCCATGGGCACCACCTCTGGAGGCTGTAGTTTCACATCCTGTACCCTACAGATGACAGCTCAGCTTCATGCTCTGGGCTGGCAGCTGAGCCCCGCCCACACCCTACCCACCTGCCAGGATCATACCTGCACAGGGCGTCCTTAATGTCCTGTAGGAAGGAGAAAGTGTACACTTAGAACCAACACTTGTCACCTGGTCCTGGGGCCCCTCCCCACGCCCCAGAACAAGCTCCTTCTTGTTCCAGGCCCTTCCAGAACCATGTGGCAGAAACACACAGGTGGGGAGGTCTCCTAATGCGGTGGTCAGACCCAGCCCTTCCTCTCCCTCACAGCAGGCAGGGCACTTGGGCACTGGCTACTCTGTTCATAGAGCCCCAAGTAGACCCCCCCACCACCATCATTCTCAGGAATAGGACAGCCTGTGTCCCAGCCTCCTGAATGGGGTCGTGCTATATAGGAATGTTTCCACCTCACAGGGTACCAGCTGGTGTTTTCCTGCCCCTTTAATGCCCACAGGTGCCCCAGGTCTGCCCATGCCTAGATGTTTGCCTTCCTGTCTCCCCATCTGATCAGAATCTTACTCAGTATTAGTTAAAATAGGTCCCTCTCATCTAAACTATTTTAAGATACAGTCAACTGTTAAAAATCATTATTAGGGAGCTGGGGAGATGGCTCAGAGGTTAAGAGTGTCTACTGTTCTTTCAGAGAAACTGAGTTCAATTCTTAGCACCTATGGCGGGTGGCTCACAAGCACCTGTAACTCGAGCTCTAGGGGATCTGATACCTCTGGTACCCATGGGCACCTGTACTCATGTGCACAGGCACACAGACATACACATCATTAACAGTTTTTTAAAAAATTTAATTATTTTTATGGGTATGAGTATATTGCCTGCATGTGTGTAAGTGTACCCGTGTAATGCCCGAGGAGGTCAGAAGAAGACGTTGGATCCCTTGGAAGTTAAGCATAACCGATAGCCACCATGTGGGTGCTGGGAATTGAACCCGAGTCCTCTGCAAGAGCAGCCAATGCTTTTTTTGGGTGGGGGGTCCTTTTTGAGACAGGGTCTCCCTGTAGCCCCTGCTGGCCTGGAATTCCCTATGTAGACCAGGCTAGCCTGGAACTCACAGAGATCCACCTGCCTCTGTCTCCCAAGTGCTGGAATTAAAGGTGTGCATCACCACATTCAGCTCAGCCAGTGCTCTTAACCGCTAAGCCATCTCTCCTGCCCCAAAATAAAAAAATAAAGTCATTATTAGATACCTTTTTACCAGTTGTTGGTCAGGCAGGCCACGGAGGTAACCAACTGCTTTTTCAGTGGGTTTGAGACCTGCTACATAGAAGGGAATTCACAGGCCCTGGAGGCAGGGGGTGAGCTATAGATACCTAGTATACTGTTGTTTTACTAAACAGACATTTGTCCAAATTATCTTCTAAATATTTATTGTTTATTCACATAGGTTAGAGGTGCGCTCAAACCTGGCCAGAGAAGCTTCTTTTTGCAGTGGGCAGCAGTTAACGTTGACTCATAACGAGTCAAAGTACTGTGAATAAGTGCCTGTTGAATGCTTAGTTCTAAATGGGACATCTGTATCTACATCTAAATCCCCCAAAGGCTCAGGAAACACTGTAGATGTGGAAAGGATATAAGAGCTGGAGATTGGAAAGCAGTGCTATGAAATACCGTCTTCTGGACGTGATGGGACCACTACACTCACGAACTCCCAGCAGCTGTGGTTACCTGCAGATCAAGCCAGTAAGTCCAGCACAGGTTAGGAAGCGGGTACAGTAGGGCTCCATCCCTAGCTGAGGAGCTATTCACACTGAAGGCCAATGGGGGAGGGGAATCACTTTTATTCTGGGGTGTAGTTGCTGGTACATACACATGTAGGCTACACTGATTGGACTGAGCTCTAAAAAAAGAGGGTAAGAAGGTTGGAGAGGCAATGTTGGGAGGTATTGGGGGAGTGGACATGATCAAGCTACATCACTATATACTTGAGGGGCTGGGGAGATGGCTCAGTGGTTAAGAGCACTGACTGCTCTTGCAGAGGACCCGGGTTCGATTCCCAGCACCCACATGGCGGCTGACAACCACCTGTAATGTAACTCCACTTCCAGGGGGTCCGACGCCCTCTTCTGACCTCTGCAGGCATTGCACGACACAGGTACACATACGCCTGCAGGCAATACACTCATACACATAAAATTTAAAAAAAATTTTTTTAATTAAAAAAAGATATAGATGAATGATTAAAAAATTTTAATCACTTATTAGTGTTAAGTTCTATTGTAAGCACTAATGTTCATTTTCCTGTAAACAAGCAAAGATATTGGAAATGGGCTCTTTACTCCATAACTGGCAGCTACTGGATTTGCCCTTGCGGCCCTCTGCAAAAGGACTGTCCATCAAACAGGAAGCTGGTGACCACATGCCAGCATAGCATTCCGGATGCCTAGGGATCGGACTATCACAGTTTCTGAAGGCACAGCCTCAGCATGAACGGTGGGAAACAGCTTATAACAGGTTTCTGCAGCCACCTCCACCTAGGACAAAAGGAGCACCTCCGGGTGGGCCAGCAGGGGACTATGACTGTAGCTAGGAGGCAAAGCTGTGACTGGTATAGATAGCTGGCAGGGTGACAGCCTGTCTACTCCTCTGGTGTCCCAGCATTAGGCTCAACTAAGGATTCCCTCCAGTGGTCTCCTCTCACCTAATTTGGTGGTGCAGGCTGAGCTGATAAGATCCCCAAAGTAACAGCAGACACAGTAGATGCAGCTGTGCCTTCTACAGGTCTACAGGGCAGGAAGGGAGCAGAAGCAGAGCCAGCAAGCAAGGCGAGAGCTGTGGTTGAAGGTGAGGTGTCGGAAAGTTCCAGAGAGCTGCCAAATCTTCAGAAACAAGGGTCTGAAATCCTGGGCCTGATAGAAGCTGACACACCATCTGCTTCAGGCCTGGGGAGTCTCCACTCCCTATTCCCAAAGAGCTGTAGCCCTTGGGTCCAAGAATCCTGATGGCCAAGGCCCACACCAGGACACTACGGAGCACCATGTGCTGCTGCTCTACTGTGACTCATTCCTGCCAAACACCCAGGGAAATGAAAGACCAGCACCCAAAGAGCTCCCCGTCGACCAGGATTTCTATCTCAATAGCGCAGCCTCTGATCAGTTGATGGGTAGCGGGATTGGAGTCTTAGAAGAAAGAGGACCCAGAGTCTCAGAGGAGTGATGGGTAAAGACAGGGGAGAAGACAGCTGCCTGCAAACCAGGAGAGAGGCCTCCAGAGACACCAGCTGCTATGGTCTGGCTGTGGCAACTGTCCTCCAAGAGTCTATGTGTTAGAAATTTGGTCCCTGTGAAAAATGTTATGAGGTGGTATGAACTTAAGAGGTGGGGCCTAAAAGGTCTGTGGAAATCTTACCCTAGGAAGGGATTAACACAGTTCACAGGGAACCCAATTAGTTTCACGACAGTTTTTAAGCATAGGCTGGCCCTTTCCTATCCTCTGCCCCTCCTGTCTCACCAGGCAACCTTCTTCTTACAGCCCTTATACTGTGATGCCATCACCATATGACCCAGCCAAGGGAGCCCCCATCCAACCTGGCACCCTGCTGTTTAGACATCCAGCCTCCAAAACTATGAACTAAACAAATTTCTTTATAAAATATCCAGTCTTGGGGTTGGAGAGATGGCTCAGTGGTTAACAGCACTGGCTGTTCTGGCAGAAGACTTGGGTTCGAATCCCAGCACCCACATGGCAGCTAACAACTGCCTGTAACTCCAGTTTCAGGGGATCCAACAGCCTCTTCTGTCCTCCTCAGGCATTGTACGACATGGGTGTACTTACCTACAGTATGCAGGCAATACACACATACACATAAAAAATAAAAATAATAATAAAACAAACAAAAAACAGTCTTGAGTATTTTACAGCAACAGAGCAAATTAACATAGCAATCCTAGACTTCTAACCTCTGTACATAAGGAAATAAGGGTCTGTGTTCAAGGTAGCCACCTGTGGTAGCCTATATGACAGCAGAGCTGAGGGACACACACAGTTTATTGAGAAGGCAGTTTATCCTACAAGGCTTGGTCTTTTTGCCAGGACAGAAAGAGATAAACAAGACAGTCCCTGCCAAGGGAGGAGGCCCTGGCAGGGATGACTGAATTTGCAAATTGTTGATTCTGTCTGGGGTACAATGGGTCACAGAGGCCTCAAAAGGGAGGGTTCTGAAGCCGAAGGTGAACTCACTAGCAGACCTAGGGGAGACACGAGACACAGAGCCCTGTCCCCGTGGGCCAAGCATCCTGGAAATGCCATCCTTTGCTATTTTCCCCAGGGTAGGTGAAATATCTGTCCCCTTACCATTTGGACATAGGTCTTTGTGTGTAGGTGTGCTGGTGGCCACATAGCCTGAGGCAGGACAAGGTCTTCCAGGCTGAGGTGAGGGGCAGGCTTGGCCTCCAGGGTAAGGAAGTGGCCTCCTTGGACTGTTTAGAAAGATCACTGTGTGCTAAGGAGCATGTCTACCTACCAGGAAAGCCTAAGGGGATGGAGGTGGGGGACCGCCAGCACTCAAGGGCTGGTTCAAAGCCACCCAGCCCTCACCTCTGAGTGGCACTTGCCGAGGAGGCTATGGGTGACTCTCCCCGGCAACAGGCCCAGACCTGAAGCAGAGGGTGTAGACCCACCCTGCCTCGCTCCTCCCACCTCACCCTAGCCAACAAGTAGTTCACAGGGACAGTGCAGGGGTACACACCTCCCCTGCATGCAAGCAAGGGCTCTCTCAGCTTTCCAGCTGGACCAAAGTTTGGTGAAAGGGGGGCCAGGGGCAGGAAGGACAAAGAGGAGCAGGAGATAGTGTGGCTACAAGTGGGGGACAGGGTGCAGACACAGGTGTGGCAGCCGGCAGCCTGCGGTGAAATGTGGGTGGACGGCTGGAGCAATGTCCCCTCCTCACAGAAGTGTCTCAGCTAAGAATCCAAATCTGGTGCTCACACTGACGACCTGTACTCCCATTTCCTGGTCACCCCTTCTTCCTAAAACTTTCCTGGTGTTTTGGTTTCCTGTAGCACAGGGAGCAATAACGGCTAACCGGACTGTACCGTATCAAAGATTTTGATGCACTATAAGATAGGTTTAGGTTTTCCTTTTTTGATGTGTAGCCCAATGCATTTCACTAGCACTGTTTACAAGAACACGGGCAACTTACCAGTGGCCACACCACTAAAAAACAGTCTCTCCCTCCCCAGCAACCATTGACTACATATAACTCTTCAGAGAGGGTGGGGCTTTGTGAGCCCCTCTGCCAGAAGCAAGGATTTGAATGGACAGAGTACTAAGAAATGACAAAGATCAGGTGAGCTGGGCGCAGTGGCACACACCTTTAGTCCCAGCACTCAGGAAGCAGAGGCAGGTGGATTTGTCAGTTTCAGGCCAGCCTGGTCTACATGGCAAATTCCAGGTCAGCCAATGTTACATAGTGAGGCCCTTTCTCAAAACAAAATAAAAAACACCTCAGATGAGCTACGGTATGCCAGCGACGTTGATTTAACCAGTGTGCAGATTACACACAGGCACTGAGACATCACACCGTATTCCAGAAACAGTTTGTTACCTGTCAGTTAAACACACAAAACATACCCCTATTACCACATCCCAGGGCTTCTCCTCACCTCCAAAGGCCAGTGGCCCGGCTTTACTGACACAGTCCTGCCTCCATTCCTCTCTGCCTCCCTAACCCTCCCTCCAGGTGTTCACAGAGCCATTCCTGGCAACAGGCTCTAATCATCTGAAGCCTGACAAGGGCTAGAGTCAGAGTTAAAGTCCCTAGGTGCCTCTTTCCAGTGTACCACCTGCTAGGAAAAGCCCCAGCTGTATACCCAGCACCTGGGCCCCAGAGGGAACACACTGTCTCTGCCCTACATGGAAGACAAGCACCAGTGCCCCGAGTCTACACCACACCAGGTACATGGCATGGGAAAAAGGCTCACATAAAACACCTGAGCCCCTAAGGAAGGGTCACAGTGGACCCCACACCCTATATGCGGCCTCTCAACAGTCACCTCATCTTATCAATGTCTACTAAGCAGGTGGGGAGACTGAGGCTCCAAACCATGGAAGCACCTTAGAACTGACGGCCATACTCTTTGGGGTCATCTGGCCTGTCTTGAGGCAGAGGGTAAGGGCGTCCAAGTGTTCTGCTTTGGGGAAACACCAAGGGAGGCCTAGGTCCAGGGAAGACCAGGGCTGGAGTCCATACTTGGGTGAAAACGCTCAAAAAATAATGGGAGGTGGGCTGGGGGACCTGCTAGTTTGAATGTCCTCACCAAGACATGCATCAAATTTAACCCCTACTGAAGGCTATAGGAGGCGGGACCTTTCTGGATGACAACACAAACCAATGGAGATGGGACCCTGTGAAGATGCTTGGGCATCTGGGGTAAGTGGAAAATAGGGAGTGTGGACCGACACGCTGACAGGGTTGGGGTGGAAGTCCTACAGAGACCTGTCAGGGGTCCAGGTGTGAGCAGATAACTGAGGGCAGCCAGGAGGGACAAGAACAGGAGGGTACCCAGAGCTAAGCACACCACAGTCTGCTCTTCCGATTGGTACAGGCTGAGCCACGTCCAGTCTGCTGCATCCACTGAGAACAGCAGCCGTGGTCAGCCTGTGAAAATGGGAGGCTGCATGCAAGGACTGAATGCTTTGGCTCCTCCATATGCCAACATCTGCACCTGCAGATTCAGCCAACTGTGGATTGGAAGTTTTCAGGGGAAAAAAATGACATCTGTACTAAATGTGTGATTTTTTCCCCCTTTCTTGTTATTCCCTAAATACAGCAGTGTATCTGGTATCTCAGGTCAGCTGGGGATGATTTTTAAAATATTACTTCTTTTATGTACATGTATGAGTGCATTGCCTGCATATAGGTAGGTGCACCTGTGTGTACAAAGCCCACGGAGGTCACAAGAGGGCATCAGATCCTCTGGAACTGGAGTTAGCCACCATGTAGGGGCTGGGAATCAAACCCAGGTCCTCTGCAAAAGCAGCCAGTGCTCTGAGCCATTTCTCCAGCCCCAGTTGAGGGTGATTTAACGGAGACAGAAGATGTGCCTAGGTGATGTGCAAATACTGCACCACTCTATTTAAGGCACTGGGGCATCCTGCACTGGGGACCTTCTGGGAGCTGGCACCAATTTCCGTGGACACCAAAGACCATGTCTTTCATTCATACTGAGTGTGGGGGGCAGAACACTGGGATACCCTTCCTGGCTGCAGCTACTGTCTACAGGTGAGAAGGGCAGGCCAGGCCCTCTGCAGTCTGTTCCAGACAAGCTTTGTCAATGCTGAGCTATTTCATTCTGCACCATCTTCCATTTATCTCCAACATGGGGCACAGGTGCAACACACCAGGTGTCAGTGTGGCCAGTGGGGGAGGCAGAGAGGTGTGAAGCGCAGCTGGGACAGGGGATATAACACATGTCTTAGGGCAGCCCTGCAGCAGTGGCGGAGGGGTACCCCTATGTGTCCAGCACCGGGGCAGGGGAGCACCGTGGTCCTCCAGGATGCTTCACTCCGCTCACCTGCAGTAACCCCAGCGCCGGCAGCTGGCAGCGGCCCTCGAGCTCCGAGATGAGGGCAGCCAGCTGAGTGCTCTGCTGGCCCAGCCTCGCGGCACCTTCTCGAAGTCTAGGCAGCACCTCCAGCTCTTCCTCCTCCAGCTTCTGCAGTAGCTGCTGCTCCTCCTCTGCCAGCAGGCGGCGCAGCCGCTCAAACTCACCCAACACATTCTGCCGCTGGCTCTCCACCATCTTCTGCTAAGCAGGAGAGGGATAGGTGGTGTGCTGACCCAGACTGACCACCTGGGGCTGCCCACACCCGAAATCCACCACTCTAAGCTAGTTGGACACTTGGAGCTGCCTAGACCCCAACAGCCCCACCCCTAAGGCTGCCCACACACCTACTCTGCCACTTGGGCTACCCAGATACATAGTTGATAGTTCTGGGCTGTCCACAACCCAAAACCACCCCTAGTGCTACTAGGATACAGCCCCAGCCCTGGAGCCACCCAGATTGCCAATCTACCACCTGTGGCTACCTGACTCAAGTCCTAGGACCACCCATATTTAACACCTGCCACCCAGGCCCCAAGGTACCAGCCAGTCCTAGCTGCCACCCCATAGCTAGCAGATTAAATCTATCCCAAAGCCAGCCAGACCCCAAACCTATACTGCCAAAGTCCAACATCTCCCTGACCCCTAACCCAACTACATGTGGTCTTTCCACACCTGGCTTGTTCCTGATCCCCAAATCCATCTCTGGGGCCCCTCAGGTCTTGTTCCTCAAATGTACCACTAAAGCATGCAACAGGATAGGCACTTGGGGGGCAGAATACCACCCTGGTATCTGGTCTTGGTCTCTCCCCGCTTCCCTCCCACATACACATCCTGGCCTGACCATAGGGGGTTTCAGTTAGCCCAGCCTGGCACCCACCTCCGGACTGGCTGTCCCCTTTCCCCCAGGACCCAGCACCTGCCTGCCACAAGGCACAGGTCTCCTCTGCCTGAGCTTGGAACAGCAGCGCATCCTCCATTTGTCTCCGCAGGTGCTCCAGGGACTTCTCCAGCCTTCCCTGGAGGGGTGGAGACCAGGGGCTGCCATGAGAACACACTTTTCAGCAGACCCTCACCTCAAACTCTTCCCACTGGGCTACTCAAAATTTGTCCGGACAGTGGTGGGATACAATGCCTCCAACTGGCAGCTGCCCTCCGGGTGGGCAGCGTCCTCAACTCACCAAATGCCACAGGTTTCTTTTTCTCATGTGGGGCCTTACTTCCAGTTCTCAGCCCCGCTGCCCTCCTCGGGCTCTGCTCACCTCTGCAGAGCCCCAGATGGCCCTGCCTGCTCTGCATGTCCAGGCTCCTTCAACAGGTCATATCCATCAAGCTGGCCCAGAAGACAACCAGCTCTCCTCTCTGTAAGTCACTGCCTCCTTCTCCTTCTACCCGTAGTCACAAGGGTCCACAGCAAGTCAGAGGCTAAGGCCTGAATATCCATCTCCAAGAATCTGCAGGCTGAATACCCAAGCCCCTGATAACAGGCTGGGCTTTTGGAAGGTGGTTGGGTCATAAAAGTAAGGCCCCATGGATGGACTAGTGCCCTTGTAGAAGGGATCCCATAGAGCCCCTGCTCCTTCCTCCGTGGGGACACAGCAAAGGAACCAGGAAGCAACCCTCACCACATATGCCTTGACTCCCAGGACTGTGTATGTGAAGACCGGGCAGGACATGTACTATGGCAGCCCAGTCTAGAGCTCTGACTTCGCATCCTACCTTCTCTCCAAGCCCCGGAGTCTGCAGGTTCACCATAATGTACCCTGGAATGGACAGTAACTGCACTGCTCTGCCCTGGTCCAGTTTCCCATTTCCATCTCTCCAGTTTTGTATACCACAGAATGTCAAGCATTCCTATCAACAGGCAGACAGACTGAAGGGGCCCCGTGCTCGAGTTGCCCACCAGGGTCTCCAGGCCCGTACCACTGCACCTCTCCACACCCCAGCTTCACTGCTACCTTCACCCATGTTCTAGATGGACCGAGGTGCTGGGGAGTTAAGTCTGCCCAGGGAGCAGGGTTGGAACCTAGCTGCCTGCCTTGCTTAGCTCCCATACAGGCTATGGTAGAAGTCTCAGCCTGTCCCAGATGCTGCCCACTGAAAATTCAAGGCTGGCTCCTGTTACTCGGTTCCATCATCATGTACACCCCCAGTCCAGCACCTTCTAAGCTCTGCCTGCGACTAGATGTAAAGTGGCAACACACGTCCACCTTGGCAAAGACCTAAAGTTTTAGTTACATAAGAGCCTCTATAACTGGCAAGGCCATAATGTAGGCTTCCTACCTGGGTATGGTGGGAGCTGGGACCCCAGGGGCACTGGGACAGGCCTGAGCGCTCCCCTCAACTCCCTGTTCCCTGTCCTATGTGAACTTTTCTTGCATCTCTCTGGTTCTACCTGACACGAGCCTGAGAAATGGAGGCTGTCCTTTCCAGGTACCACTCACTCATGACCCCAGGGCCACACAAAGAGAGTGCTTATCAGCAGAGCCATGAGGCCAGCATGGCCTGGGGACTCCTATCTGGGCTTTGGTGAGTGAAGGAACAGTTTCTTGCAGATCCACTGGCCCTAGATAAAAGTCATCTGCTGGGGCATTTCTTAGTGCCCAGGCCCAGATGGGCCTGTGTGTTATGAGGATCACACCGAGGTGAGGGCAACTGAACAGATGCAGGTACAGAAGTGCTCTAAAGGCAGAGAGCATCAGTTCTGCAGGAGGGAAACCTTCCTCCCTGCTGTCAGCATCGCCATCTATTTCCTAGTCACAGTCCTCAGCCCAGATCAGGAAGTTCAACCTCCCTTCTTTCTGTAACCCTTTCCTGCAACTCAGTACCCTGTGTAAAAGCCCCAGAGTAACCGTTTCTCTAGGTTTTTCTTTTTTCTTCTGAAGCCCCAGGCAGGAGAAATTTAACATATTAATAGAGCTGTGACTTTTCTCCTGCTCTGTCAGTTTAATTTTAAATTCAGACAACGAACCTAACAGCAGAGAGAAAAAGGGTTTTCTTCCTTTGTGGTAGGAAAGGCTTAAAGATATCCGGCCACAGTTTATCATGTTGGCTGAAGAGAGCTGCAGGACCCTCTCTGCAAGACACATGGTACCGGAAGCCTAACCCCCAGGGATGCTTGGCCTATAAGCTCAGGGATGTGGCTCCTGCGAGCTAAAATCCAAAGCCAAGAAGGCTTGGTGTCAGATTTATTCTGAGGTTCCAGTTCATACTAGGATGGGAACATACTGGCTCAGGATCAACTCTGACATCAGTCCAAACTGTAGATCCCAAAAGCTTCTCTGGTGATACACACACCTGGCCACGACAGGAAATACAAGTTTTTAAAAAGAGGGCTGGGGGGCTGGAGAGATGGCTCAGCGGTTAAGAACACTGGTGGTTCTTTCCAAAGACCAGGGTTCGAATCCCAGCACCCACATGGCGGCTAACAACTGTCCGTAACTCCAGTTCCAGGGGACCTGACAGCCTCTTCTGACCTTCGTGGGCATTGCACCACACGGGTAAACGTACCTACATGCAGGCAATACACACACACACATAAAATAAAAATAAAAAATAAAAAGAGGGCTGGAGTAGGGTGTGGTGGCCCATACCTTTAATCTAAGCATTCCGATCTGTGAGATCGAGGCCAGACTGGTCTACATAGCGGGTTCCAGGCCAGCTAGGACTACAGCAAGACCCTGTCTCTAAATATTTAAGAAAATTTAAGAGGGCTGGGGATGAAGCTCAGTGGTAGTGCGATTGCCCAACATGTGTCAACTCTGGGTTCAACCCTGATCCCGAGTGACCCAAGTCCCCTGGCCGGGGCATCAAGACCCAGTTCCTCAGCTATCTTGTAACTTACTACCCCCACCCTGGCTTCGACCCCAGCTCCCCCCACCCAGCCAAAACTGCCACCCACCACCCAGCTTCTCCAGAATACCTGTGCACCCCGATCCTTCTCACAGGATCAACTGTGACCCAAACTCCCTCATCTCAGGTGGTACAGACTGTGTCCTCACTCCGAGAGGGAGTTAGGCAGCGCCCGGAACATCCCCCTTGCACCGGGCTGGGAATGCCACCCAGCGCTCAGTTTCCCCAGCACGCCGGCACATCCCCTCCAAGCAGAACAGGTTGCGCGGGGCGCCACGCACCTTGAGGTCCTCGGCCGCGTCCTGCAGCGGGCGCACCCGGTGCGCCCAGTGTTCCGAGCGCTCGCAGGAGGCGCACAGCAGGCTGAGGTCGTCGCCGCAGAAGGCGGCCAGCGGCTCGCGGTGCGCCGCGCACACGCCCTGCGGGACTGGCGACGGCGGGTGCAGGCGCCGAGCCATCTCTGCCATCTTGGCGAGCGGGCGGTTGGGCCGCAGGTTCCTCTGCGCCGACAGCTCGCGGCACTCGGGGCAAGCGTACGGGCCCTCGGGTTGGCCCCAGCAGCGCCGGATGCACTCCCGGCAGAAGTTGTGGCCGCAGTCTGTCATTACCGGGTCGGTGAAGTAGTCGAGGCAGATGGCGCAGGTGGCCTCCTCCTGGAGGTTGGTGGACAAGTCTGGAGCGGCCATGGCGGGGACGCAGCGGGGAAGGTGGCACTATAGACCCGGTTCTGCGGGGACTCGAGGGCTACGGGCGCCCCGGGTGGCAAGGTGCAGCTCTCGGGTGCGGGGAGTAGGGCGCACCCGCTCCGAAGTCGCGAGAGTTCAGGCCTCTAGATGGTGGGGACGCGGGGCGCACGGTTCCCAGGTTCCCGCAGGAAGAGGAACCGCGGCGGAAGCAGGAAGAGGTGGTTTTTTTTTTTTTTTTTTGGAACCACCCGCTTTTGCCTCGGGTTGGTCGCTGCCTGTCACGCGGCCCAGGGGTGGGACCGAATTGGAGCGCGTTCTCGCGGTGTGTCCCTGTTCTTTCCCTGCGCCTCCAGTACCGCCCGCCGCAGATTCGGGGCGGTCTGGGGTCCCGTGATCGGTTTTGTGGCCCTGCTGGAGTTGGGGAAGGGTTACCGGGGAATACTGAGGCGCACGGATGACCCCAAGGAACGACCCAAGCCAGAGGCCAGGGAGCCCCGCGCTGCTTCCCAGTGAAACCTTCACTTTGAGCCTGCGGCCGGCGAGCACTGCAGGATGGAGGTCCCTTAGACGGGGCATTGCCATCTCGAAGGACTTGCCCGAGTGATGAGGGACGGGAAATGGGACGTGGTCATGGGGCCCAGATGCTCACAGTGGGAACCTCTTTGGAAGCGCGTATTGTGCCAGTGCACCCCTCTCGCTTTGTTATGGGGCGTTAGCCTGAAATCCTGGGGTGCTGGTGACTTACGGGGTTCTTGGAGAGCGTGTTAGGAAAGGGTGCCCAAGAAAGAAGACTGTGGCCCTCCCACATTACCTTAACAAGGCTGGAGGAGGTGGGGCCCCATTTCTCCACATGAAGGACGGCCAGAGGAGGGCACTAGGAACCCTGGACTTGGCAAGCTTGGGGGTAGGGGCAAAGCTAACAAGACAGGACACCAACTGCCTGGTGAGCACGTATATATTTAGAAATCAGCCTACTCCGAAATGAGTCTTCCCACAGTTCCCTCTAGCATCTACCAAGAGTCCGTTCACATTTGAGCGCTTTAATCGAGACTGTATTTCGGGAAGCTGCCCTGCCCGCATAGGGAGGAAGCCTGGCAGCAGGTGGCCGCAGTGGGTGAAGCGCCCTGCCTTCTGGGGAGCCCGGGCACGCCCAGCATCTGTGCCCTCGTCCCACGCCGCTATCCCTTCACCCACATGGTCACTGTGGAGATGACCATCTGGCCCGATTTGGGAGCCCCCAGGCAGAAGAAGGGCAGCAGGGGTCCCGGGAAGGCTGCCTGGGAGTAACTGTGCAAGTGGGACCCGTCATTCACACTGTAGGACACCTCCCCCGCCTGGAAGTCCAGGAAGATGCCCATGTGGCTGGGAGGCTCGGTCAGCGTGACTGGGGTGGAGCCGGGCATCAGGGACAAGTGCGTCTTCCCCTTGGACAGCTGCACCACCCAGAAGCCGTTTTCCGGGGACTTGGGTACCCTGTCCTTGCGGCTCACGTTGTCTCTGCACACGCCCACGGCCCAGAGCGTATCCCCGATGAGGTTCACGCCCACTTCCCAGTGGAGCGGAAAAGCTCTTCTACCCCACATCGAAGGGAAAGGCCACGAAGCGGTCCTTGCTGTTGGGCGTGCCGCCCTCTGGCGGGACGCTCAGGTAGCGCCGCTGGCGGCTCTCGTACAGGAGGAGGTAGGGGTCCGCTGACAGGGGGTCCGGCACTACATCTGCTGCAGAGGGCCCGGGTGGACAGAGGAGAAAAGTGGAAGCTATTCAAGGTCAAAGGAAGAAGGGCTGGAACCCTCAAGATGGGGTGGGGGAGGGGGCCAAATGGCCTTTTTCCATGTCTACCCAAAGCCTCCCCTCTCCAGTTCCAGCTGAGAACTGGGATTACCTAAGGATTCCACGCTGAGGCAATGGGGCTAAAGGGGACAAACAGTCCAACAGATGGACAGACTAGGAAAGTCATTCACACGACCAGACTGACCATTCAATAACTGGATAGCAAGTACCGTTTAAGATACTCCTCCCCAGCTGGTCAGCTCTGGTTCTGTGTGACATCCTGGTAGAGCACTGCCCAGAGAGCAGGGTCAGGATCTGAGCCCCACAACCCTACTTACCTTGGAAGCTTTGCAGCACCTCAATCTGTCCAGGAACTCTGCACACTGTCTTGATAGCCATGGGGAGGGAGCCTCTCCTTCCTCCAGGGAACATGAACTCATGTCCCCTCTGACCCTCCCTCACCCACCTCTTCCACTACCTCTCCCGAGGGGGGTACCTGGTCAAGGTGTCCTTTATATCCTGCAAACGACAGGGAGGGGTGTTGAGCTGGCCCTGCTCCTCAGCTTCAGAGCCACCTCTGTTTCCACAACTCTAGGACAGTCCCTTCCCCAAAATCAGCTTCACACTCTCCCTAAATCTTTCACTCCCACCAGGGGACCCTACGCACCCTCTCAGTCCAGGGTCACAAGCCTGAGGGCTGCTGGTCAGTGGAGAGGAGGAAGTTCTGAGGAGGCTGAAGGGCCTGGGAAGCCTGCCCAACACTGTTTTCAGCAGTTGAAATGGAACCCTGGCCTGCTAGACGAGCACTCTACCACTGAGCTACGCCCATAGCTCTTTGCCCAGCACTTCCATCCCTTTGAAGCAAGTAAGCCACAGATGCAGGAGTCCTTATATATGCTGTGCTTTTATCTGTGTGTGCACACCTGTGAGACTGTTTATGAATTGGGCACAGTAAAATGCTAGTAATAACTAATAATGCACTATAATGAATCTGTGCTCATCGTACATCTGACAACCTCAGCACAACTTAAATAGAGCTTTTTCTTTAAAGGAAGCTGCTTATAGCTTCTTTTTGGCATGTCAAAATTACAGGCTTTCCTGCAACTGTGCCTTGGGGATATTACTGAGTAAATGAGGTTCCCTTGAGCACAGTAGGTTTGATAGCCAAGACAGTTTCTGGTGATAGGGTACACTGGACAAATGAGGTGATTCACACCCTGGGTAGAGTTTTATCATGCTTCTCAGAACAGCATGCAGTTTAAAACTTAAGGATGGCTCACTTCTGGATTTCTCCAATATATTCAGGCTGAGTATAACTGAAGCCTGTCAGTCAGGAAGAGAAGCTAAGGAGGGCAGGGTCTGAATTTCCTCTTTTGTCTCAGGCAGCTGAAGACCCAGTTAGGGTTCATGGAGCTGTGGAGAAATAAAGGTGAGGGATGTGGTGGGCACAGCTTGGGGAGGAGAGGGCTTGGGATAACAGTCCAGGAGAATGATGGTGAAGAAGTCAGTCTGGCTGGCCTTCCACCATGAGACTTTCTCCAGAAGCTGAGCAGTCGGTGGGACCATGCTCTGGAACTCTCAGAGCTCTGGGCCAAACCAAACCTCTTTGTTTTATTTTTATTAAGCTTATTTATTTATTTTTATTTTGGCGTTGGGGAAGCATGTGTGGAGGTCAGAGGACACCTTGTGTAAATGGGTTTTCTTCTACCATGTGAGTCCTAAGGATCCACTCAGGTTGTCGGGCTTCGTAGCTGGCGCCTTCACCTGCTGAGCCATCTCACAGGCCCAAATCTCTTTCTTTATAAAATTACCTAGTCCTGGGGCTGAAGAGTTGGCTCAGTGGTAAGAGCACTGACTGCTCTTGCAGAGAACCCGGGTTCAAGTCCCAGCACCCACATGATGGCTAACAACCATCCTAACTCCAGTTCCAGAGGATCCAATACCCTTTTCTGACCTCCACGGGTATTGCATGACATGAGTGCACCTACATGCAGGCAATACACTCATGCACGTAAAATAAAAATAATAAATATTTTTAAAAAACCTACCTAGTCCTGGGTATTCTGAGAGAGAATCAGAGAATGGCCTAAAACAACCATAGTTTTGCTTTCCAGAGCATAATCCTAACACAGGTACCTCATGTAGGTGGCCTGCCAGAGCCTCCTGCTCATGAGCACATATCAATCAGTAGGTGAGGCCTGAAAGACTAAATAGCCTTTCCACCCAGAGGGTCAGGAAACTACCTCAGTGAGTGTGGATGGCTACTTTTTATTTATTTTGGGTTTTGGAAGTAGGGGGTGGGGAGGGAGGGAACAAGATCACACGATGTAGCCCTGGCTAGCCTTGAACTCAGAGGTCTGCCAGCCTCTTGAGTACTGGGATCAAAGGTGTGTACCACCACACCTGGCTGGGCTGCTTTTTAATAGAAGACAGGCTGTAATCCTACATTAGGATGATGAGGGCAAAACCCACAGGGCGTAGAACCTACCCACGGTGATGCTTTGAGGGAGACACTTGCTTCAGTTCTGCAAGTATGCACCTGAGGCTTTTTGGAGTAGATACCTATAACGTTCGCTGGCCCACTCCCATTCTCAGGAATGCTTTCCCCTTCTTAATAAACTGTCTCTATTTCTGTTCATCACACACACGTGTGCGCACACACACACACGCACACACACACACACACACACACACACACACACACACACACACACACACACACACACACACCCCTCACTGGCAACATGAGATGTTTGCTGTCAAGCACTAGGATGCGATGAGGTGATCTACAAGTGTCAGCCCAGCCCAACCCTGCCTGTGTTTGTTCTCCAGGGTCCTGGCTCCTACACCCTCAGGCCCCATCTCAAGATAGCTTACACAGGTATGTGGCAGCACACAGCAAAACTCAAGGACACCAAATGCCACTACCCCCTCCAGCCTCACCTACAGCATCTGGAGGGGCTCCTGCTGGCTCTGTTCCTCCAGCTGCAGCAGCAGGCGGTCCAGGGAGCGGCTCTGGTGGTCCAGGGAGGCCTTGTCCTGCAGCTTCCCCGCGGTCTCCTCTTCCTCCTCCTTCAGGACCTGGAGGAGCCTGCGTTCTTCCTCCATCAGGAACAGGACCACCTCTGGAACTCCTCCAGGATGCGTTCCCTTCTCTCCTTCACGATGTTGTAGGAGGAGTGGGGAGTGGGGAGCTGAGGGTCCCCACCTGGCTCTCAGGAGGCTGGCTTCCTTCCAGTCCAGGTTGCCACACAACTCCCCTGGACTCTTGCCAGTCTAGAAATCTCTGGCCAAACTGGGAACTTTAGCTGGGAACCAGCACCTTTGACAGAGACCCCCACAGCCTTCCTGGTGTACTCCACTAAGCCCTGAGTGGCAGCATCCATACCCCCAAATGCCTGTGTGTCCTGGTATGGGTGGGCTCAGAACATGTCATCTCAAAGGAGCCACAGACATGCTATAAGGAAGGATGGGGGCCCCAAAAGACCAGGCTAATGTCAGATTGGAGTCACCCATGTCTCCAAAACTGTTGATCAGAACTGAGAGATCAGAATGTCAGCAGCAACAGCCAAACTTCCAAAGCTTCTCCTCCTCTCTCCCTTCCTTTTCTTGTGTGTGTCTGTGTGTGTGTGTGTGTGTGTGTGTGTGTCTGTGTCTGTGTGTGTGTGTGTGTGTGTGTGTGTGTGTGTTATGTACTTGTCAGTCTTTCTGTTCTTTTGAGACAGGGTTTTCCTCTGTAGCCCTTCCTGGTCTGGAGCTGCCTATGTAGTCTAGGCTGATCTTGAACTTCCAAAGAGCTTGCTTCTGTCTCCTGAGTGTTGGGCTCTAAGGTATGCACCAACATGCCCAAGCCCGCCCACTCACCCTGTAGTGAACAGGAACAGAAAATCAGTCCTTGCCCAGCAGCACCACAAGATGACCTGGTGTACAGGAACTGAAGCCCCTTACCCCCGACATAGGAGTTACTGGAAGCCATCAAAGGCACCTCCTATCACAGATGAGTATGGACATGGACACGCAGACGGACAGGAGACCCCAGCAATGGGCACCCACCTGCCACTCGGTTAAAATCTGTTTTTCTGTGGCTTGCAACCTCTCTGTCTTCACCATCTCCTCTTGAAGGTACCCTATGTCCACCTCCAACTTCAGCTGCAGGACACATAAACCACAGGCCTTGGGTCAGTGGATCCTCTGCCTCTGCCTGCATCTGGAGTATGGTTGCTGAAGTCGCACTGACCCCAGAGACACTTTTAAAGAAGAGTGGGGAATCACACACACCTCAGAACGGATCACTTCAGCAGTAAAGCATTTAGAATTTAACACCCCACATGGACAAATGAGCTTGGGCCAGAAGAACTAATGACAGAGGATTCCAGCCTCCCACTTAGGTGGCCATGCCAGACCAAGCGCCCGAGTTGGATCCAGCCCATCAGGTGACCAGGGACAGAACTTTGTTGGCCCAGGCTTTTGAAGTCAGATCACTGTAATGTATATTATATTACTAAATTGTCTCATGTTGTTTGGGCTAACTGAAAAGTCTGTCCTGGGGAGCAGGGTTCCCACCCCCCAATTTCAGACCCAAATATGTTTGCCTCAAAATCTCCTCCGAAGGCCCCTTGTCCAGGGATGAGCGGCCTTTCACCAACTGTGACAGGGACGGAGAGGACAAAACAGCCTGAGTGAAAACATCCCTCCATAGAGAAAGCCTAGAAGGTAAACCATTTCCAATATCATTATTGTTTATCTCATGATATGAAATGCCTATAGTGGGAAGGGAGCCATCAGAAGCTCAGCCATGGACCGAAAGCTCAGAAGATTCCAGCTGTCGGCCTCAGCTTCCCCAGATGACTTCTGCTGGGTGTTGCAATCCCGATTTGATGATATCTTTGCCCTCAATTGAGCTGCTCCAGGCAGCTATACTATAAACTCCTGATCTGATGATGTTTTACTTTCTAGCTGGGGCCTCTTTATACTACTATTTTTTTTAACTTTTGCTTCCTTTATACTTACTAAGTCCATTCATTTGAAACCAAAAGCATAGCTGATATAGATTGTTCTCGGGCCTGTACTGTACAGACGCACATTTTTCCTGGATGCAAAGGGTATGTCCGTTGGGGTTCAGTCCCCGACCTACACATACCTATTCCTATGTATAAGAAATAAAATCTGATGGTTCCTTTTCAAAACAAAAGTATCTTGAGTCGGCTTAGGTCCAGCTACAGATGAACAAGAAACATTGGGTCTCTGCTGGAAGCCTGCTACCTTCACCCAAACTCTTCACCCAGCTACCTCTGCCCCAAACTGAAATGAGGGGGCAGCGTGGAGACCACCTTGACTGCTGAACTCCCCCTTCCAGCTCTGACCTGGGCTCACTGGCCCCTGGTCATACTTCCATAGTGCTGACCAAGGCTCCTGTCCCCCGGACACATGTCCCCCTGCCCCACAATCACCTTATACTCCCGTGCACCCTCATCCACAACAGCACCTCAGGCAGCCGGTGCTCCTGGGCCTCTCTGCAGACCACGCAGATAGGGCTGTGGTCAGCCTTGCAGAACAGTTTAAGGGGCTCCTGGTGCACCTGGCACAGGTCTTGCTTCTGCAGCCCAGGGTGCTGGTGTGCCATTTCAGCCACCTTGGTCAGGAGGCGGTTGGGCCTCAGGTTCCTCTGAGGGGACAGCTCCCTGCACTCAGGGCAGGGGAAGGACCCTCTCTGCTTCTTCTTCCTCTTCTTGCTCTCCCCCTTTTCCCAGCTCACCTGGATGCACTCGTGGCGGAAGTTGTGACCGCGGGCTGTCATGACTGGGTCTGTGAAGTAGTTCAGGCAGATGGAACATGTGGCCTCCTCTTGCAACCTCTGGCAAGTTCCACAGCATCCATGGCCCCTGGGGAGATGCAAAGCAAGGGTTTCCACTGTAACTCCTATGGCTGGGTCTTGGAACTGGTGCTCCTGCTGGTTCCCTGGCTGTGAGCCCCGCTGGCTTCCTCTGTCGCCCTTCACAGACAAGGACACAAGCTGGTGTCAGACCTCTGACCAAATGCTAGCCAGGCCCCCGAATCCTGTCTGCCAAGCCTGGACTTGGCCCCTAGTTTGGCTAGCTACAGGCACCTCCCGTGCCCGCTGGAGCCCCAGCTGTTTTGCTACTGTTGGAACCAAGCTCCACCACTGCCCTGGGGCCACACTTCTACCCCAAAAGGCTGGAAGCGAGTCAAGTGTCAGAATACATTTTCTTTAACAAAACCCTGGTACAAACAAAGTTAAAGAGAACTTAGAGAAGAATGGAGATTCTTTCAATTAAGGTGTGATGCACACAACACACTGCGTGCATTTGGACATGAGAACACCAAACACAAAGCCAGGGGCTACAGTGCAGACACAGGTACACACATACAGGGCTATATGTATACACATCCACAGAAACATGCACACATACAGAAGCTACAAGCAGACACATGCAGGCTCATGTACACATAAGCATACTATACATACAAGTTGGCATACAGGTAGACACATGCAAAACAAACACATGCATGTTCACAAACACACACAAAACCACATACACAGAAAACATACCACACAGGACAGGCCATGTGAATACACAGGTACTATGCAGGCAAACACATGTGAACAGGCACACATGTAAACATGCCTGCACAGACACAGGTGCATAAACACATGTCATGCGGTCCCTCTGGAGATGAATACTGCCACCTCATCCAGCAGAGACCCAGGCTTCACCTTGTTCCCAAGGTCCTTCTTGAGACTTGAGGATTGAACCTCAGGTCTCAACTCTGAGTGCCTCTTCCTGCTCCCTCTTAATCCTTAGAGCCCAGGCACCTTTGCTGTTGGGGAGTGGGTACCATGACTTCACCAGAGCGTCTGTGAGCAGAGCACAGAGCATTAGCTCTCCCCGGATCTCAAGGGCCCGAAGGGGTGCAATGCTTAGAGTGCACAGCGGCCCGTTTGGACAGGGTGGCGGGGGTCTGGCTCATCTGGAGTCGTCCTCAGCGCTCCTGGGCACTGAGGGCTCATCCAGGAGACGCACGTAGTAAGTGACCCACGACTGAAGTCTACAGCTCCCAAGTGTGACCCTCCCTGGGGACAGGACGGCTGGCGTAGGTGGGAGGACGCTGAGAACGAGGGCAGGGGAACCCCTGGGGTCCTGGCCCAGGCGCTGCAGTAGGGTGGTCTCTGGGGGCGACTACTCCCAGGGCCGGAGCGTTGCACTGCTCCGGGTGCCGGGGCCAGGTGCGCCGTGTGAGTCCTGGGAGGGGCCGAAGGGGCTCCGAGCAGAGGGGCTTTGTGGCGTCAGCGCGCGCAGGCGGGCGGCCGGGAGGAGGGGGCGCGGGGCGGGGCGGGGCGCGGCCTGCAGCTTAGCGGCGGCGCCTCCCGGGCCCGAGGTTGGGTCTGCGGGAGGGGCGGGGACCGAGGAGGGAGGGGACAGAAGCGGCCCGGCTGGCCGGGGGTGGGGCCCTGCAGGAAGAGGGAGGAGATGGAGCCGGCTCAGAGGTGGGGCTTGCGGCGTCAGGGCCCGGAAAAGGGGAAGGAGGAGGTTCAGCTGGAGGCCGGTGGGCAGGGGCCTCCGGGCCTGGGGTTGGGGTCCTGCCAGGGGCGCTGGGCTGAGAAGTTTGCTGAGGTCGAGGGAGGCTGAGAAGGGGTGACTCACGCAGGGGCGGCCCCCCTTAGGATGAGGGAGGGAGGCGAAGGGGAGTGGGTGAGAGGAGGGGGTCATGTATGAAAGGGCTCTGGGTCGGGGAGCCCCACCTCTACCCGCCCAGTCCAGGGAGGAAGAAGCGGGTGGCGTGGCTGGAAAGCAGGGGAAGTTAGGGTTTCGTCTGTGGAGCGTCGGTAGCACAGGCTGGGCAGGAGCTCCTGCCGGGCTCAGCCTCAGCTTCCCCAGGCGTGCACCACCGTCGGGTTCCCAGGTGGCTTTGATGCAAACTGACCGGGCAGGTGAAGCCGAGGCTGGGGTACAGGGAAGAGGAAGAGGCAGGGACCAGGGCCCTGGAAGCGTGCCATCCCCGGGACTGCAGCCGGGCTCTGTGTAGACTGGCTGCAGCGTGCTCTGGACAGTCTCTTCTCTGGCACGAGCCAGGACCTGCCATTCAGCCCGTGTGCCGCGGGCCGTGGGAAGCCAGTGGACCCCTGGAGAGGAATGGCCGCTGGTTGCTGGTTCCACCGAGACTCCCCTCCCCTGCCCCGCCGTATGTGCTTCCTTCCTAAGGGATTCTGGGTTCAGGGTTTACTTCCGTTTGGAAAACAACATCACAAAAATTTTAAATGAATAAAAACCCAGCCAAACAGAGGTATCAGCACCAAACGAACTGCCCTTTTCAACTGCTCAGATAGCATCTTGCTGATCTTGCTAACTGCTGGGGTGTGAAAGTCAGTTAATCCCCGAGGCCCGGCTGCCCTGCAGCGGGCAGGGCACAGGGCTGGAGGGCAGCACTTGTGGAGTTGGATGTAGGGAGAGTTCAACTACATTTGACATTCAGTTTTGGTACTTTCCTACCCAGCTGTGGAATCTGGTGTTGGAAGGGGCTCTGGCATTACATGGTCCACTCACCCTGCTCAAGTAGAATGCTTTTTGCAACATTCTGGCTGAGACATATACTGGTCTATGTCAGGAATCTGGTGGAAATAACATGTCAAATGTTTGCAGCCCACAGCTTCTAGCCTTGGCTACTGGTTTTGTTGTGTTTTTTGTTTCTTTTAATTTAAAAAATCATTTATTTTTATGAGTGTTTTGCTTGCCTGTAAGTAAACACACCTGTGTTATGCAATGCCCACAGAGGTCAGAAGAGGGCATCCTATCCCCTGGAACTGGAGTTATGGATGGTTGTTAGCCACCATATGGGTGCTGAGACTTCAGTCGTGGTCCTCTGGAAGAGCAGCCAGTGCTCTTAACCTCTGAGCATCTCTCCGGGTCTTTTGTTGTTTTTACTTTTGAAAGAATGTGCAGATAACAAAGTGTTATAGTTTGGTTTCTGTTGCTATGATAAACACCATGACCACAGCTACCTGGGGAAGAAAGGGTTTATTTGGCTAAGGTCACAGTCCATGGAGGGAAGCCAAGGCAGGAACCTGGAGGCAGGAACTGAAGCAGAGACCATGGAGGAACGCTGCATATCTGCTTGCTCCCCCTGGCTTGCTCAGTCCCCTTATTCAGTCCAGGCCCACCTGCCTGGGGATGGCACTGCCCACAGTGAACTGGGTCCTCCTACATCAATTAGCAATTAAGAAAACACCTCACAGACATAGCCACAGGCCAGCCCAATGCAAGAAGTCCCTCAGTTGAGGTTCCCTCTTCCCAGATACGTCTAGGTCTGTGCAAGTCAACCCCACACCTGACCTGAGTCCTCACTCCCTGACCACTAGGTCATCCATGCCTCAACATTTCTTGCAGGCTGGGTCCTCGGGCTGAACAAATAGCATAATTCTTTTAAATTTAGTTTAAAAAAGTGGATTTGAACTCAGAGGACACCCCATCCCTTTAGATATTGCTTGGAACCATCTGTCTCCTGGAACTGTGCTGAAGGAACTCTCTTGCTGGAACTCTGTCCCTGGAACTGTGTCCTCAAGCCCAGCTCCAAAATGGTATCTCCAGCTTCCTTGTCATAAAGTTCCAAGTTTTTCAGGGGTTGAAAGAAAAGACTAATACTTAATGTTTCTTACAGTGACTAAGGAAGATGGGTCTTGGGCTTCTGGGGGGACTATTACATATACGGGAAAACCAAGGTGCGTACGTGCTGCCTAGGAGACCTGGGGACCCATATCTGGTGATACAGTTGTTCTCTTTCCTGTGCAGGTTGGGGAGTAGGTTTGTAGCTGGAAATTCCTTTTACACAAAGGAAATCTATGCCCTGATTTCAGAACAAGGAGCAGGCACAGCCCTTCTGCGTTTGTCACTATGCCAACTATGCATGTGAGGCTGACATCCTCCTGGTCCCATGTCTCCTGGGGTTTTGTGCAAAGTGCTGTCACTCTGAGGGCAGCTTATGGCTCCGTCATCTAGACCCTTGCCAGATGGTTCCAGACCATTCAGAGTATGGTCTTTGATAGCCGAGCTTTCAGTTTCTAATGGAGATTTTTGATATGTCGCAAATAAAAGGAAAATAACGTGTTAATAGAGAGAACGGCGGCTAGACAGCAAAATATCACCAAATCAAGCACGCACAAACATCCAGGAGAAAGAACTAGGGAAACCCTGATGAAGCTGTCACGCTGGAGTGTGTGTGTGTGTGTGTGTGTGTGTGTGTGTGTGTGTGTGTGTGTGATGAACGCCAGGGCGTGGGTGT